TCCCTTATTAAAAAGCTATAATTCCATATGAAAATCTAGTTTTGTATCTTCCTTTTGTATTCAAATATCAATTTGTGTTAATAAAAAAATGTGATTTTTGATGAACAATACATTTTGTTCCGGATTTGTATACTCTTTTCAGGGTATTAGAAATTCAGTCAGAAGCTTGTAAACATGTGAAGAACTCATTTCCGACCCCATAAATCATATATATTCTTGGTCAGCATTAAAAGCTGAATAGCCCGGATAAAATTTAATTTTTCGAAATTTTGAAAATTTTATAAAATCGTTAAAATTGTCAAAATTTGACAAAAAAATGCTGTTTTGAAATTTTAAAACTGAATATAACCTTGTAAAAACTAGCATAGGAAAGCTTTCCAAATTGAAATTAATGCATTTATGGCTTAGTTTTGATATTTCTAAATCTTTGAATTAGGTAAAAATTAGCATATTAATGATCCCTTCCCTATTCGAACCCATGATCCTATGGCTAACTGCAAGGGCATTGCACACTTCGTCTTGTTGAAGTTATCCCTTCTTAACTTGTTGTGTTATAAAAAGAGTCTTAAATAAATTTCCATAAAACCATGAGACAGCCATTGTTAGATTTCCCCCGGTGCGGGATTATCTTTCCACGGAGAGACATTTTCACTTGACACTCGGGCCACACTTTACGCTCATTTTCATTGGACGCATCTTTTCACCTTCGGTTTCTGGTTTCTGGTTTTCCGCGGGACTAATTGTTGGATGGCCATAAAAGCGAGCCCGGCCTGGTCGCGATTGTAATTAACGTTTCTTTGCTCGAAATTTCCTGCTACGATTTCCTCGCTGGTTGCAATTTCCCGCCGCTTCCCACTCGCATTTCCACCAGCCGTTGGTCATTAGCCGAGGCTGGAATCGGAAGCCATTTTCTCTCTGTCCCCTCTCTACCTGCTTTTTGGTACGTGCCCGGCCAACTTTTCATGCACTTTGCCTGCTGTTAGCCGCTGCCTCTGTTGCTTCTTCTGCTTCTGTTGATTTTTCCACAGTTTTTCCGCTCCGCAGGCAATGTGAAATTTTTCACCGTAAACGTGACCATTGTCGCTTTGTGTGTTATATTGTTGTTGTTGCGGTGTTTGCCGCTTAATTAAATCGCCTAAGCACCTTGACCGATTTCGCATTCGGCGACCATCCGTCAGATACAACTGCGATACGAAAACTACAAGATACATTTGTGTGGAAATCACCGAAAAACATGTTTCGATCTCACTTACTGGGTCACACATATGTATGTCTGGATGACCAGCAGGAGAGCCGTTAAGTTGCCTTAAGCCTGATTTATTCCTGTTTTCCGAGAGTCTGATTTTATAGTTGAAATGAAATTTAATAGATTTTTACCTGAGGCATAGACCAGAAATTGCTAGAAGTTTAAGTTGGAAGCTTGGCCATGGATTAAATTGTAATTAAATGGCTTGACAAATGGCCGACTATAATTAATAAATTATACAAGTGGCTATTAAATTTGAAACTGAATTATTGCCATCATAAATTAAAGTCAATTGAAGGAGTATATTTGAAATATGACTAGAATATGATGAATATTTTTTATAAAGTAGATATTTTAACTGAACTACTAATACTACTTTGTATCAATCAGCTTTGCACCAAATAATATGCCCAGAAACTACAAACACACATTTCGATGATAATCTAGTCAAACATACATAATCCATTTATAATTTAAAGCCTATTTCAACCTCTTATGTCTATTTACCCCAACAGCATACTGATTTATTTAACAAATAAACAATATTCAAGCTGCACTGAATACTTATTAGTTCAGCAGAAGATTAAATAATCAACAAGTTCAGCTTTGAATTGTCATTTATTAAGCAAAGAAGCACTTCCTCTGATTACTAAGCCATATTTTTGCATCTTTAAACTAATTCTAAATGTTCTCCTTAAACAACAAATGCAGTTGAAGCTTCTCTCGAGACCAAAGGAACCATTGCCAAAGTAGCTGCCTCTTATTAAGTCTGTACCTTTCAGAAACAACCTTATCTCTTGACAAGTGCTTGCTTTGTAATTGCACGGAATGAAATGACAGCAAACCTGCAGGCGAGTCTCGAATCTTGAGAATCTTGATCCGTAGCAAAAGTTAGTTTTAGTTTCCAGTATACCGTTTCAAGGCCCGTTGCAATTAATGGGCCTGCCACTCCATTACCTGTGTACTTCATGGCTTACAGTTTACATCTAATTGGTTCGGGACCCCAAAAGAGCTGACAGATGCACGCCAGGTAACAGTATTAAATGTGTGTTGACGACTCGCATCTGACAGATACATTTCAACTTGTTGTTTATGTATGGAGAGTTTTGCATGGTGGGCTGACTTTGGCATTAAATAACAGGTTCTTCTTGCTGTTTGAGGAGATAGTTGGCTTAGATTTGGGTTGGGATTTAATAGTATATTTATTCTAAAAGCAGTTCTCTTAAAGATGTACCTACAGTCTTATCATATTCTAGTGTATTTCTACCAAGTGTACTCCCCACTTCGACTTGCTAAAATATGTATTTAATTTCTTGTTTTGACTTGAATTTATTTGCTCTGCTCTCTAGCGTTTCGAGGTGTCTCCGGAGTGCCGTGAACTCAATTATTTTTTGCAATTACTTTTTATGATTCTACAGTTTACAGTTGCTCCACCTCCAGAGGCCTTCCAGCTCGATTGGTTGGGATTGGATTGGGGCACACTCTGCTGCTGCTGCTGTGGAGTTTGGCCATGTCATCGAGGGTGTTTGTTCTGTGGAGGCGATGAATCAAGCTGGCCCCAATTGAAATGTCAGCACTCGACTCGAATCGACTCGAATCGAGTTGGATGGAGCGTTTAAAGCTGCAACTTGAGTGTTAGAAGAAGCTGACATAATCGCTGGTCCCCCCTGTGCTCCTCGGGAAGAATCGAGAAGCTTCAGTCCATTCGGAAGTGGGTCAGTGGCTGGCATTTAGCCATGGAGCTATCTGTATATATGTGTGTTTGCAGCTGTATCCATCAGATACACGTATCGGGGAGCGTCATCTGCGCGACCAAACTTGGCCATTTGTGGGTTTGTTTTGCTAGTACTCGGCACTTGGTAGCTGTACCTATTGTGGCCGAAACCGGTTTCAGTTAAGAAGAGCTTTAAGTAAACGGCCAGAGTGGAGTTTATAAGCCCCGCTTTTATGGCCAATGTCCGTCGCGGTTCCTGGCACTCTGCCCTCGGGCGGGAAACCAGTTTTGTTTTCTTATTTTCTTCTTTTCCATTGCACTAAATAAATATACACTTTTCGGTCACGCTTAGCTAGAACATCTCCACCTCTTGAATGTCGTACTGCTCCTCCTCCTCCTCCTCCGTGTTACATTTGTTACAATCTTATGCAAATCGTAGACGCTTTTACCCCAACGACTAATGTCGATTTCGTGGCTTTATGTTGACTTCCGCTCGGCTTGTTTATGGGCCACAATTTGTTGACTTATTTATTTGAAAATCTGGCAGAAGTTGCACAACGATTTCCCACCGAGAAGTCGCTTAAGTGCAGACACTAAACCATGGAGTCATGCCACAGTTGGCTGCCTCGTCTCCAACCCCTTTTGTTTTTGCAGAGAGAGAAATTAGAATATATTTTATACATTATTAAGAAGGCTTTACTTTGTTTAAAAACCTTTATTGGGGATTTATTTAAGCTTAAGATTTATTTTTCCTTTGTATTTATTACTAAAAAATATTGATAGGTACTGCATTCATTTCTCTCTGTGCGCCTAATTTACATTGCCAACTCTGTGGGCCAACTGGCTCAGTGACTCGACTTAACTTGGCTTGAACCGCCTGACTGGCTGACTGAATGACTGAATGACTGACTGAATGACTGACTGAATGACTAACTGAGTGGCTGAGCGATTGCAGGCTGCCTCGCAGCATAGCAAATGTTGCACGACTCTCGCTGCCGTTTCTGTTTTTATTTTCCGTTTCGGTTTCTGTGGACTTGTGTTGATGTTGCTTTCAATGTGGTTGCCGTTTGTCGCGCCTTCGCCTCAATTAGGTGGTCTGGTGGTGCGGCCTGGTCTCTGGTCTGGTCTGGTCTGGTCTGGCCCCGGGTTGGAGTGGAGTGTTTCGGCGTGTCTCTTGCGCCGCGCCAGTCAGTCGGTGGTGGAACGCAGACCCAGTCCCAAGTCTCTTCAAGCGGCAGCTTAAAACTGCAGGCCGTTGCGCGGTGCATTCATAATTGGATTTTGCGTCGTTTCTTCATATTCCATATCGATCTGTGTGATCTAGAATAATATTAATAATAATAATAAGTATGGAGAGTGCCCTGCCGGTGGCCGAGTTCCAGCAGATAAAGCTGCGTCCGGTGCCAAAGGTCAAGCGCCGTGCCCCACAGCCGCCAGTGAGCCTCCGTTTGAAACAGAAAAATGTGCGAAAAATACCATTAAGTATCCCACAAAGTGCCACCATAACTCACCAGACCCCTGAACCAAAAACCCCTCGAAAGAGGCACTGAACTTTCGCTCTCTCTAGAAACCAAAAAAAAAAAGCAAGCTAAAAAGGGTGCAAGTGAAAAGTGAAAACAATGGCTTTTACTTGACGGAAAAAGGAGAGTAAAGCGTGGGAAGATTTCCCAGCAATCTTAACTGATCCTCGCTTGCCATTTTGGTTGGGAAAAGTCACAGTTTGAAGCAAGATTTATATCAACTGGAAAGCTTTTTCATGTGTAGTTAACAAGACTGTTAATTGAATAATTAAAAAATTGTTTTTAAACTGGGAAGATCATGATTAACTATGAGAAAATGAGCTTCAAAGTAGTAAATAACAACATTTAAGTAATCACGAAACTCACTTAAATAATTAAAAAGAAATTACATTTTCAAGAAGATAGCAAACACTTAAACAAATTAATTACTATGACAATCATCTTATTATGTTTAATATGTATAATCGAAGCCTTTAAGTTATAAACATATCTTATTAATTATTTCCATATTCCTTTACAGACTTCAGCCACCACAAAGACAACAACTCTCACCACTCCGGCCAAGTTATATGGCAAGGATCTGAGTGAGTATGATGATGTGGATGTGGAGAGCCTGCTGGCCCAGCTCTCGCCCGAGGAGATAACCATACTGGCCAAAGAAGTTGATCCCGATGTGAGTTCATAAATATATTTTAAAAAGCTCCAACTTAATACCTACCTTTACTCTCCACAGGACAACTTCCTGCCGCCAGATCAGCGCTGCGGTTATGAGTGCACCAAGGAAGCCACCGGACCGCTGAATCGCAAGCAGCTAATCGAGCACATCAATAAGCAGGCTATCGAGACTCCGGATGAGCCGGAATTCGAGCCTTTTGTGCAGGGCAAGGTGCGCGGCAAGAAGTGGGTGCCACCGCCAAGGGATGCCCGCGAGATCGAGGCCGAGGAACAAATCGCCATCGATATGGGCGAGGAGTATGAGCATGCTCTGAACGATGCCACGCAGGAGGAGATTATCGATTTGGCTGCCATTCTGGGCTTCCACTCGATGATGAACCAGGACCAGTACCACGCCTCGTTGCTCAACAAGGGCCAGCCTGTGGGCCTGGGCTGGGATGGCATCACAAAGTCCACCCAGCAGAAGCTCTTCCCCATGGATCCGCCCAACAGCACAGATGTGGAGGAGTCCATTAAGCGGGTCAAGGACGATGACTCCAAGCTGATTGACCTCAACTTGAACAACATTAAGGTTCCTATCGAGAATTATAAAGTTTGTGAAAGTTTTTTAAATGTTTTCTTTGTTCCGCAGAACATCTCGGACGAGAAGCTCGAACAATTGTTTGCCGCACTGCCTCAGAACGAACATCTGGAAGTCCTCTCGCTGACAAATGTCGGCCTCACCGACAAGACAGCCCTCCTGCTGGCCGAGGCCATTGAGAAGAGCAAAACCCTGAGAGTATTAAATGTTGAGACCAACTTCATCAGTCCGCCTGTGATTGTTAAGCTGGTGCAAGCCCTGCTCAAGTGCCACACCATTGAGGAGTTCAGGGCCTCCAATCAGGTGAGTGGAGTGGAGTTTTGAGTTATGAATTAGTATACTTAATATGCATTGTCCTTCCCCAGCGATCTGCGGTGCTGGGCAACAAGATCGAGATGGAGATCACCGACTTGGTGGAGAAGAACTCGTCGCTGCTGCGTCTTGGTTTGCATCTGGAGTTCAACGACGCCCGCCACCGAGTGGCCGCGCATTTGCAGCGCAACATCGACAGAAGTAAGTTGAGCTTTCAGGATTTGCCAGCATTCCCAGCATCGGATCAGCGTTGGTTCCGCGTCGTTTCGCTCCTTCTCCTTTTACCCTTCTCCGATAGGCTTAGGTTTTTCTTCTTATTGACCGAGTGTTGCCTCCACCCACGCGTTTAGGTGAATTGCAACAAGGTATGTCAAGCGTCATCAGCACCACCACCACCACCGCCACTGCTTGCACATCGTCACAGCTACCATCATGCAGCAATCAGTCAGTCATCACTCATCCTGACCCCACTTCAACTTCTGCCGGGGCAGCCAAGGAGCTATCGCCCACGCGGGTGAAGAGCCTTGCTGCCTTCGAGAAGTTCATCAAGGCGCGCACCTGGACTAATCCGGCAGAAACTGTTACTCATGACTTGCCACCTGCAGGGCGCCTTGTGCGCAATCTTCAGGCTGGAACTGGAGCTGGAGCCGAGAAGAAGATCTGAATGCGAGTCGCCCCGTGTTGGGTAACCAAGCTCCTCGTCGTTGTCGTTGTCTTACCCCCGTTACCCTCTCTTCTCTTACTTTTCTCTGTATCTATCTTGTGTCTGGTAACCAGGTAAACCGTTCTTCGCCTCCATCTGCCTCTCATCAATGCTCCAGATTTGTCCAGTTCAGTCTTAACCCCATCGTGCTCCATTCTCACATCGTCTCACCAGCCTCCGTTGCGTTCTCGTTATCGTTCACCAGTTCACGTTCACGTTCACGTTTCGTTATCGTTCGTTCTCACCTGTCGTTGGGGATTATCGTACCCTGGTTAGGCATATCATAAGTTGTTTTAGATTGGATTAAGGTGGTTATTTTAGAAAAGAATACATTTAAATTTACATACATTCTATATAATGTAAGTGGGTTCAGTATTACGTACATATATCATTCTTCCACGTCCACGTCAATGCTAACCCATGCGTTATCCCTTAGAATAGAGTCAAGGATCTCGCTCTAGAAAGGATCCTGCTGTGTAATATTCTACGCCTGCCCCCTGCGTTTGTTCTCGTTCTCTCTCTCTCTCTCTCTCTTGTCTCTTGTAATTACCATAGTGACTCCTAGCCAATGAAAAGAAGAACATTAACCAATTATCCACTTGTCTGTGTTGTAAAAAAACTCAACTCTTGAACTCAAAAAACACCCCCTCCACCGACAACAGTCTTCCGCGTTCAGAAACTCAAGCCCAATCTGCCAAAGCTGATCCTGCCCGGCAACATGGAGATTGAGCGGGATCTGGTGTCCTATCACCGTTCGGCTACACCCTCTCCATCGCCATCACCATCGCCCCAGCCACGGGCGGACTACGAAGTGGAAGAGGATCCCGATAATATGGTAATCCGTGGCGGCGGCGAAGCCTTCGATCCGGAATTCGACCCGGACAACATGGTGGTGCCGGGCAGTCGCTCTGTGACACCCAACTACGATGATGAGGGCGTCTACCAAGCGCACATGTGAGTGAAGAGTGCCACACCACAGCCACTGGAGACACTCTGAACCACTCTGAGCCACAGTAAACCACAAGTTCGAGCCATGTACAGACAGTCATCTGATCCATCTGATTCCCTATTTCGTCTCATTGGTTGCGTAACCTCGATGTTGTCGCTGTTGTACACACACACACTCTGGATGATGATCTTGCAGACCAAGAATTTTGTACATATTCCCAACCATGAAAGTGGAGATCAAAGCCACAAAAGATTAATAGTTTCATTGTGATTACTTTTTATAGCAAAATAGGAATCAAAAGAATCTGATATCAAGTTTTAAAGTTGGCTTAATTAATGTTGTATATATAATAGATTTATAAACATTTTATTTTGCTATGAAAAGTAATCAAAAGTAAACTAAAACTTGGCTGTATCTATTTGTCATGTGTGCAGAAACCGGAAACAGATTCCCAGCACACAAAACTCCTTGTTATTATCTGTTTTCCATGTCGTCGTTGTCAGTCGCTTTTCGAAACCTTGTATATAATATATATTCAAGCCACGATCACGATCACGATCACGATCCTATATCATTCAGTTCAGATGCGTGCTATTAACCCACACACACCCGGCACACCACACTCCCATGCACACTCTCATTTGCAGCACTCTCTCTCTTTGTGTGTGTTTTGTATCTTTGTATCTTTCTATCTCAACACGAAAAGAATGTCCCTCCAATGAAATACGACATCAGCCAAAACGATTCAGAATATCAGTTTTCAGTTTTTTTCAAAACAGTCATTTTTATATATTTTGTATACTCCTTTTGTGTTTTGTCTTTATCACCTTTTGTTTCTCTTTCTCTTCCCCTCTCTCTGTTTCTTTCTTTCGTCTCGTTTACAGTAAGAAAAGATCTTGAGTTGCGACTGCAGTTCAGATTTTTCAATAATCTGCATAGAAAGTCGACAAGAATTCAATAAGCGCAGACCAGAAAGCAAAGCAACTAAAACTAAACCATTTTTAAAGCGTTTTGTAATCTAAAACCCAAGAAACCGAAGAAAAAACAAAAAACAGAAGCACATAACAACGAAAGAACGTGTATATTATAATATGTCTATATGAAAAGAAGAAGGAAGCAGGAGCAGAAGTTTAAGCTAAAGATATAATAATGCAGCCACCGAGCTAGCCACATAACTATCTATCTATAACTCTAGAGAGACTTAACTAAGCAAGAAGCAAACTGAAACCAAAAGAGAAACGAAGTGAAAATATCAAATATAATATATATATATATACATATACCAAAAAACATATCTATATCGATAAAGCGCAGATCGAACCCCCTCACGAGCACTTGTACAGGTGTGGAGTGAGTTGTGTTCGGAGTCGAGGCCCCTTCTATATAATCCAGCAGAAATCGTTTTTAGGCGTGTCACGTGTATAATTATCTATAACGCTTAACACAGGTATCTATACAAAATTCAACGGATATTCTTCCCTCAACTTCTACTTCTTCTTTTCTTCTGCTAACTTGCAAGATTTTTTGCCAGCAAAAACAATAATAACCAAAGTTTCCCAATTAGTAACTACTTAGCACTCTGCTATATATGGCTTCGATATATATATATATACAGATTATAATGAGCTTCTGCCGATGCAATTAGAGTTTAGAGCCTTCAAAGTGCATTTGGCTGATTGTTTGCATAAATCGATGTGCATATATATAGATGATATCGATCACACACTGACTGTAAACTAAACAAAGATCTTTTCCAATGCCCTTGCAAGAATTAAAACTATTTACTATTGTAAACTTCCGTTACCTCTAAATTTTAATTGCACGAGTGCCACAGAATATTCAAAAATTGAAAAATATTTAATGAAAAATTAACAATTTGTACCCTTTTAGGGTAATACAAATTCACTTTTATTTATTTTGATCAGGATCTAAGGCGTTTCTTGTTATAAGTTGACTTTAAGAATGAATTTTTCAAACCACTTCAATTTCTGTGGCGCCCCTGAATAACCTTTGAATTTTTAATAAATACAAATAAATTCTGGTAATTTATATTAGGCTGTCTCAAAGTCTAGGTATTTTTAAAATATTTTAATCAAATATAATTAAACTAAATTTGCAAGGGTATTATTTAACAGCTTCGGTTTGTTCGAAGCTAGAATTCCTCTTGTGTTATTTACTTAACCCACTGATCAGGCCCATAAAACACTCAAGCATTTAGCATCCGAAATTGTCGTTTATGTTGTGCCTCATTTTGTAAATTATTATACTTTTATTGTTTATTAATCCTACATACCGCATGTCTTTTGCTTTTATTTACACCCTTTTGGCATGTCTCCATTAAAAACAAGAACAAACCATTTGCATGTTTTGTGTAAACCAGATCAGAACGCGATCCACAACACACTCACACACCTCCCAGACACCTGCACCGGAGTGAGCTAATTCCAAGGCTCTAATAAAGTTCTCTTCGTGTACTAGGAATTAAACTGCGATGTATGATCTGAGAGAGTCCTCCCCCAGATCCGAGTGTCAAAAGTAGAGCGATAGTAGAAGGAACCCATCATAACAAGCATAGATTTTGTGATTCAATAAGACCAACCATCAACTAATAACAGCAGCAGCAGAGCAGCACCAACACCATCGATAAGAAGAGCCATGAAAACTACACATAGTTATAAATAATACAGATATCGAAAAAATGTGTAGTGCAGAGTTCGGCGCAGATGAACAACCAGTTGGTACCCTTCTTCTGTCTCTAAGTACTTGTTGTTTAGATCTGCCGCTGAGAAAAATTAAAGAAAACCTCATTAACTAACCTCGATTAATCCTTTTACCCCCAAAAATGCTTCCAGCTAACTGAAAGTTAAACTTAAGTAAAAAGAAAAACCCAGAAACTGGGGGACCCTTGACTTGAATGTTGTACCCGTGCTACTGTTGATTGATTATTGACTTGACTTGACTTTTAACTAACATTGAAAACTAAAATTGTTGAATCCCTTTCTATATATATTACACACACTTTTGTCACCACCTTTTGACTAATGCCAAATGTTTTTTGTTTCTCTTCTCTTCCGAACAAAAAAAAAAACAAACCTACCTTGATCCTTGCTCTCTGTGTCGTCTACAGTACGTGTGAAACGCCTGAACCAGCGTAAATAAAAAGACAAACAAATAAATAAATAAAACAAAAAGCGAAATATAGCAGCAACCAACCAACAACAAACAACAACAACATGCCACCACCCAAGAACCACAACAATCAAGCAGAAAGAAAGCCATCAATAAATGTGTGTGCGTGTGCGTTAATTTGCTTGTTTTGTTTGTCCAACAACAAATATAAACGCTCGATTAATTAAAATGAATTAACAAAAGCAAATCCAGCAACAACAACACCACCACGAACAGCAGCAGCAACAACAAAAGATTTATATGTTTAATATCCCCAAAAAACTCAATATGTTCTATGTTTCATCCCCGAACCAATCCAACAATCCACCAAAAAACAACAACAACCAGCTGTGAACTAACACCGAAGAATGACATGTGTGAGACATGAAGTACGTAAAGTATTTTATTTTTTGTACTTGCTAAATAATAAGCAAATAAATTAAGTTATAAGAGAATATATATGTATGATGATGATGTGTCATAAAATAAATTTCGCAATTTAAGGTAATCTGAAGTAAGATTTATGTAAGTCAATAGTTTAACTTTTGATTATACTATATATTATCAGGGTTTAATTAAAGCTTAACCACAGAAGCAAACTTTACAAACTTATACAAATTTTGAAGGGGATTGCATGTTGATATTGAGTATTAAGTATTAGGTCTAGAAATATAACGAATTTGTACCTAAATCTTCGAAAATTTTGAGATAGTATTCTTCAAAAAGTTTTGCTTAATAGAGTCTGTAATAATTACAAAGAATGGATTTAATAGATTAGCTCCTTTTAAAAAAAGGTTTAACGTAATATAGATAAATATTAAGGAAAAGAAAATAATATAATCCAAATTTAATTAAAAAGAATAGGATTCACTCTGTGCGATATTAATTTAGTATGTACAAAGTCCAATATAAAAACAATATAATTAAGGCCATACGACTTATTTCTCACTCGTATCGTTATTATCATATTTTGATACAACACCTTTAAGTCATTATTGAATATCTCCAGATATGCATTCAAGCACCTCAAGTTAGCACCTAAGATTCCTTGGTGACCCCGTCAGCAAAATAAGTGTCAATTTTAGCGCTCTTCTTGCCAAGATTGTACGAAAATAGATCCTAACTGGGTGGATAAATATTTAAGCAATGGGAAATCTGGTTAGCGACTCTGTTTAGCTGTTAGCTACTAGCTCTCCTAGGTTAGCTTTAAGCAAACGGCGACGCCTCTGTGTGGACACTGTCAAGTGTGTTCAACTTTGTTGTGCGTCATGCCACGTCTTGGGGTATAGGGAGTTTGCTTCACTGTTTGATGTTGATTCCCCTAGCAAATGTGGAATTCATTGAGAATATCTTACTAATCCTGGTTTGTGTGTATATTTTACAGTTGGACGTCAGCGACGCATGGGACATCTGAGCAGGAATTACACCATTGGCGTCTGGCAATAGTAGGATTCATCGCTGGAGTCACCACTATATACTATCCCCCAAAAAGAAACTATAATTGTTCATGCGGTTTTCGTTCAGTGTTTGTTGCGTTCTTCAGATGATTGATTGCTGATGATTTTCGATTTGAGTTTTGTGTTCGGTTAACACCATATAAGCATATAATCATTTGTTTGTTACGAGTTTAGGCGAATGTTCATTGTCATACACACACACACACACACGCGACTTTCTTCTATATGATATATGTTGTGTGGCGGCAGCTAAAGTAATTCTTTCCTTAAGCAAATTCTTCACATTTACGCTGCAGCTTCACGCACGCCCTCTGCGCCGATCATTTTTATTTTATGTTCGTTTTTAATTTTAATTTTTAATCGACTCTGTCCTTTGTTTTTTATTTTATCCCTGGATGGGGTAATGTTTCACACAACTTTTAGTTTTAGTCGTGTTTAAATGCACAGGATACATGATACACACACCACATACACATAATACTTATACACACACACACTATATATATATGATACATATATAGCCATGGTCTCTGAAACAATTTACTGCTACTATTGAATTATGAAAACAAAACAAAAAAATGCTTAAACATAAATTTAACTTATGGTTAAACATACACACAACATAAAACTGAGAAACAAACAATTGTATAATGTAAAATGATATATATCTTACTTTATATATATATACATATATGACATAATGCAATGCTTTTAAAATACAATTTTTAAAAATCATGTAAAAACATTTAAAATTAAATAAACAAAAAAATACAAAAACTACAAAAATATTTCACATTGCCTTCGTTGATTTGTAGCGGAAGGAAAAGCTGTGGGGGAATGGAAATGGTGTCTCTAGTAAATCTCGAATTACTATAATTATTATGATATATTTAAATAATACTATTTATTATATATTAAATTGTTAAACTACGAAAAGAGGAAGAGAGCGAGAGAAAAGCGAGGATACATCTTTTGCCTTGACACCGATATTGTGACAGAATAACAACAAATCTTGTTTGTTTGGCCCACGCACAAGAAGATCCTTTGTTATTTTCGCAATTTTAAGAAGTGCACGGCTTGTTATCAACTAAAAACTGTCCAGAAGATAATTTTTTTCATATTTAACTTTGATTGTAGTTTTAACATTGAAAACTTCGCAATTATAAAAGTTGCTTTCGTCAGCAAGAGAATAATATCATCTTAAAATAGCCAGACTTCCTTTCCGCTTGATAACTTAGTTAACTAGAAAAGATAGGGAAAGATTACATACAGTAGCCGCCTTAGATATCAGATTATATCTAAGTAACCGAAAAAAACACATTTCCACACTCATCACTTTCGATTATTATTCAGAGCTCTTCAATCCCAAGTAGAGGAAACTGTCACTGCTCTAATCACAGCTGGGGGATTGGATAACTGTGAACATCAATATTTGCTTGGGGTGAATAAGTAGTGCACACTCGATTATCGGATATTCTTCACAGATCACGCCTGATTAATGGAAAAATTCCGATTATCAATCGGGGACACTTGTGCCAGTTGACAGGTGGCGAACGTGGGCCAAGGGGGTCGGCGCTACCTGGCCATTGTGGCGATCAGTTAGCCGCCGTGTTTATGGAGGCGCTGTGGATATAACTGAAAGACACAACCTGTATCCCGCTCCCACACACGACACGCGTCGGGGTCTGGGCAAACAGCATCCGGGAGATAAGAGCGCGTGACGCAGCCACCGGAGCATCAGGTTGCGGCGACGTGTCCGCCCCATCAGTTCGCCCAGAGATCTACGCCCAGAATGTCCACGCTGGAGAACGAGGTGACCTTCCGCAAGCAGGCGGAGGTCAGCCAGAGTCTGGAGGCGCAGTTTCAGGACAGCAATGCCTCCACGGATTTTATTTTAATCACCGATCATCGCACCTCCAAGAGCAAGAGTCTCGAGCAGCTGGAGGCCACTAAGGAGTCGGAAGATGGCTCATCCTGTTGCTCTCGCTATGCCCGGAACATTTTCCGGATGAAGACCCTTAAGCGGCGATTGCCCTTCCTCACCTGGCTGCCGCATTATAATTCCCGGGATTGTATCGGCGATCTGATAGCCGGATTTACGGTGGGTCTCACCGTAATACCCCAGGGATTGGCCTACTCGGGCGTGGTCGGTCTACCACCGGAGGTGAGTAACTCTTACAAGAGAACGCGTTATTTTTTATACCTCTTTCTCATATATCATTGAGGGGTTTCATAATGGATTTGATATGAGTAAAATCTTATTTTTCAACACCTTAATTGTATCAATTTTCGGGTTTTGGATTGGTATATCAAGAAACTTAAATGTTTTCCCATTAAATTAGCAAGTTGAAAGAAGTGGAAAAGCACCGAGATAGCTTTAAAGTGACAACTTGATCAGTGATCTTAAGTGCGCGACAGGTGAAGCAGCTTTACGGAAGATAAAGTTTGAGAATACTATACAAAATATGTAGACAACTTCAAGTGAAGGTCCTTAAAAATTATATAAATATATACAGTGATAGTGTTAAATATAATAGTTTAAAAACATATTAAAACTTGTTCAATAACCTATATAAAGATAATAATCATTGCATAATAGAAACAAATAATTCCTATAAGATATTCAAAAATTAACATTTAATTCTAATTTTTCCCTATCACCAGTACGGTCTCTATGGCTCCTTTATGGGCTGCTTTGTCTATGTCCTTTTGGGCACCTGCAAGGACAGCACCATTGGCAGTACGGCAGTGGCCTCCCTGATGACCTTTCAGTTTGCCCAAGGCTCCTGGCAAAGATCCGTGCTCCTGACCTTTCTTACCGGCATCATTGAGATTTTTATGGCCATCTTCAAGCTGGGCTGTTTGGTGGAATTCGTATCGGGTCCAGTGAGTGCAGGATTTACCAGTGCCGTGGCTCTCATAGTTTCCACCTCCCAAATGAGATCCATGCTGGGTGTTAAAAGTGATGGCGGATCCTTTCTGGCCACCTGGATCAGCATGTTCCGGGATATCGAGAATGTACGAGTGGCAGACACTGTTCTTGGTTTCGGATGTGTCGTCCTGCTGCTAGCCATGAAAAGTATGGGAAAACTTGCCATTGGCCCCAAGGATGAGTCCCAGAGGAGTAGCTTCCAGCGTGTTTTCAACCATGTCATCAAGTTCTTCTCCACATCGAGGAATGCCTCTGTTGTGATTGTATTCACGCTGATCACCATGCATTTGGAGGCTCAAGGAACGAATCCTTTTCGACTCACAGGAAAAATACCCAAAGGAATGCCTACTCCTTCGCTGCCACCCTTTTTCATTGAGGCCCAGCCGGGTAATGAAACGGCTGGGATACCACCTGTGCCGGGACAGAACTTCCTGGAAATGGTACAGAGCATGGGCTATGGACTCCTGATTGTGCCTCTGATGGCTCTCCTGGAAACCATGTCCGTTTGCAAGGCCTTTGCCAAGGGAAAGCAGATCGATATCACCCAGGAAATGATTGCCTGTGGAGTGGGCAACATTGCCACCTCAATGTTCTCGGGATATCGATGCAATGGTGGACTGGCTCGTTCGGCAGTGAACAATGCCAGTGGCTGTCGCACCAATATGTCCAATCTATATATTGGTGTCATAGTGGTCCTTGCTCTGAACTTCCTTACCGATTACTTTGCGTTTATTCCCAAGGCGGTCCTGGCGGCTATCATCATATCGGCAGTGATTTTCCAGGTTCAATACCAAGTCGTTACACCCATGTGGCGAAGCAAACGTGAGTACAGAAATCATATTCATTAAATATATAGTTTCTGTAAAGGATAATGATTTTACAGGCTCCGATCTAGTCCCTGGCATCTTGGCCTTTATCACCTGCTTGGTGCTACCCCTGGAAATTGGCATTATGGTGGCCATTGGCGTAAATCTACTCTTCATTCTTTACTATGCAGCTCGACCTAAGGTCACCCTGGAACAATTGGAAACCCAGCAAGGCATTCGCTTTGTAAAGATCACCCCTGATCGGTGTCTGATCTTTCCCTCTGTGGAGTTTGTACGTAATATGGTGCTCAAATCGGGCAGTAAAACCACCCAGCCGGTGGTCATCGATTGCACCTATATCTATGCAGCAGATTTCACCGCTGCCAAGGTGATTGCCTCCATGGTGGAAGACTTTCGGCGTCGCCACCAAAAGATCATCTTCTTCAATCTTAAGCCAAGTGTGGTCAGTGTCTTTGAGGGTCTGAACACAAAGCTGGTGCTGTGCTACAACACTCATGCCCTGGATCAGGAGCTTCGACCTGATGAGCCTGATCTTTCGAGATCCGTGGACTCCTTGGATCACGCAGAGTCTGGTAATGGCACTAGTGAGTGCGTCAGCATGGCCAGTACATTGTCTCTGGCCAGAAGTTAGTCAGTTAAGTTAGTTTAGTTATCTACATGTATATTAATTATTATAAATAAAAACATAGAAATGAAAGTCAAAGTACATTGTATAATATATTAAATCGACAATTTTTAATATGTCAAATTTTTAGGCTAAATGTTTTTCAATGTTTTCAAATATCATATCTAAGCCAAAAATGCACTAGTTTTTAAAGAGTTTACAAATCTGCATTTCCTGATGCTGTTAAAAGATTCTGACTAAAATAATAATAATCTGAAAAATGGTATAAAAACAGGTAATTATTTTAAATAATCAGTGTTTTTCGCACATCATAATTAAGCCAAAAATGTGTTTATTTCAATTTGAAAAGAGGTTCTGTGCTAACTTATATAGCGCCAACAAATCTGCATAGTCAGTTTTAGAATTTAAAAAATTCAATTTTTTGCCAAATTTTTACCATTTTAACGATGTAACCCCTTATAAAATTTTCAAAATTTGTAAAAAATTAAATTTTATCCAGACATAGCTAGATCGATTCAACTGCTCATTGTGATCAAGAATATATATGATTTATAGGGTCGGAAATGATTCCTTCATTGTGTTATAAGCTTCTGAAAAATAGTTAAACCCTAAAAAAGGTATAAAACGGGCAATTTTTAAAAATAATCAGTGGTTTTTAAACTTCATCATTAAGCCAAAAATGCATAAATTTCAATTCGGAGAGCTGTTCTGTGCTAGTTTTTAAGGCACTAACAAATCTGCGTACTACGTTTCCTGATGCTGTTAAAAGATTCTGACTAAAATAATAATAATCTGAAAAATGGTATAAAAACAGGCAATTATTTTAAATAATCAGTGTTTTTCACACATCATAATTAAGCCAAAAATGTGTTTATTTCAATTTGAAAAGAGGTTCTGTGCTAACTTATATAGCGCCAACAAATCTGCATAGTCAGTTTTAGAATTTAAAAAATTCAATTTTTTGCCAAATTTTTACCATTTTAACGATGTAACCCTTATAAAATTTTCAAAATTTGTAAAAAATTAAATTTTATCCAGACATGGCTAGATCGATTCAGCTGTTCATTCTGATCAAGAATATATATGATTTATAGGGTCGGAAATGATTCCTTCATTGTGTTATAAGCTTCTGAAAATAGTTAAACCCTAAAAAGGTATAAAAACGGGCAATTTTTAAAACAAATCAGTGGTTTTTAAACTTCATCATTAAGCCAAAATGCATAAATTTCAATTCGGAGAGCTGTTCTGTACTTGTTTTTAAGGCACTAACAAATCTGCGTACTGCGTTTCCTGATGCTGTTAAAAGATTCTGACTAAAATAATAATAATCTGAAAAATGGTATAAAAACAGGTAATTATTTTAAATAATCAGTGTTTTTCACACATCATAATTAAGCCAAAAATGTGTTTATTTCAATTTGAAAAGAGGTTCTGTGCTAACTTATATAGCGCCAACAAATCTGCATACTCAGTTTTTGAATTTAAAAAATTCAATATTTTGCCAAATTTTTACAATTTTAACGATGTAACCCCTTATAAAATTTTCAAAATTTGTAAAAAATTAAATTTTATCCAGACATGGCTAGATCGATTCAGCTGTTCATTCTGATCAAGAATATATATGATTTATAGGGTCGGAAATGATTCCTTCATTGTGTTATAAGCTTCTGAAAAATAGTTAAACCCTAAAAAAGGTATAAAAACGGGCAATTTTTAAAAATAATCAGTGGTTTTTAAACTTCATCATTAAGCCAAAAATGCATAAATTTCAATTCGAAGAGCTGTTCTGTACTTGTTTTTAAGGCACTAACAAATCTGCGTACTGCGTTTCCTGATTCTGACTAAAATAATAATAATCTGAAAAATGGTATAAAAACAGGCAATTATTTTAAATAATCAGTGTTTTTCACACATCATAATTAAGCCAAAAATGTGTTTATTTCAATTTGAAAAGAGGTTCTGTGCTAACTTATATAGCGCCAACAAATCTGCATACTCAGTTTTAGAATTTAAAAAATTCAATTTTTGCCAAATTTTTACAATTTTAACGATGTAAAATAAAATTTTCAAAATTTGTAAAAAATTAAATTTTATCCAGACATGGCTAGATCGATTCAGCTGTTCATTCTGATCAAGAATATATATGATTTATAGGGTCGGAAATGATTCCTTCATTGTGTTATAAGCTTCTGAAAAATAGTTAAACCCTAAAAAAGGTATAAAAACGGGCAATTTTTAAAAATAATCAGTGTTTTTTAAACTTCATCATTAAGCCAAAAATGCATAAATTTCAATTCGGAGAGCTGTTCTGTACTTGTTTTTAAGGCACTAACAAATCTGCGTACTGCGTTTCCTGATGCTGTTAAAAGATTCTGACTAAAATAATAATAATCTGAAAAATGGTATAAAAACAGGTAATTATTTTAAATAATCAGTGTTTTTCACACATCATAATTAAGCCAAAAATGTGTTTATTTCAATTTGAAAAGAGGTTCTGTGCTAACTTATATAGCGGCAACAAATCTGCATACTCAGTTTTAGAATTTAAAAAATTCAATTTTTGCCAAATTTTTACAATTTTAACGATGTAACCCCTTATAAAATTTTCAAAATTTGTAAAAATTAAATTTTATCCAGACATGGCTAGATCGATTCAGCTGTTCATTCTGATCAAGAATATATATGATTTATAGGGTCGGAAATGATTCCTTCATTGTGTTATAAGCTTCTGAAAAATAGTTAAACCCTAAAAAGGTATAAAAACGGGCAATTTTTAAAAATAATCAGTGGTTTTTAAACTTCATCATTAAGCCAAAAATTCATAAATTTCAATTCGAAGAGCTGTTCTGTACTTGTTTTTAAGGCACTAACAAATCTGCGTACTGCGTTTCCTGATGCTGTTAAAAGATTCTGACTAAAATAATAATAATCTGAAAAATGGTATAAAAACAGGTAATTATTTTAAATAATCAGTGTTTTTCACACATCATAATTAAGCCAAAAATGTGTTTATTTCAATTTGAAAAGAGGTTCTGTGCTAACTTATATAGCGCCAACAAATCTGCATACTCAGTTTTTGAATTTAAAAAATTCAATATTTTGCCAAATTTTTACAATTTTAACGATGTAACCCCTTATAAAATTTTCAAAATTTGTAAAAAATTAAATTTTATCCAGACATAGCTAGATCGATTCAACTGCTCATTGTGATCAAGAATATATATGATTTATAGGGTCGGAAATGATTCCTTCATTGTGTTATAAGCTTCTGAAAATAGTTAAACCCTAAAAAAGGTATAAAAACGGGCAATTTTTAAAAATAATCAGTGGTTTTTAAACTTCATCATTAAGCCAAAAATGCATAAATTTCAATTCGGAGAGCTGTTCTGTGCTAGTTTTTAAGGCACTAACAAATCTGCGTACTACGTTTCCTGATGCTGTTAAAAGATTCTGACTAAAATAATAATAATCTGAAAAATGGTATAAAAACAGGCAATTATTTTAAATAATCAGTGTTTTTCACACATCATAATTAAGCCAAAAATGTGTTTATTTCAATTCGAAAAGAGGTTCTGTGCTAATTTTAATAGCGCCAACAAATCTGCATACCCAGTTTTAGAATTTAAAAAAAACAATTTTTTTTTCAAATTTGTACAATTTTAACGATGTAACCCCTTATAAAATTTTCAAAATTTTTAAAAAATTAAATTTTATCCAGACATGGCTAGATCGATTCAGCTGTTCATTCTGATCAAGAATATATATGATTTATAGGGTCGGAAATGATTCCTTCATTGTGTTATAAGCTTCTGAAAAATAGTTAAACCCTAAAAAAGGTATAAAAACGGGCAATTTTTAAAAATAATCAGTGTTTTTTAAACTTCATCATTAAGCCAAAAATGCATAAATTTCAATTCGGAGAGCTGTTCTGTTTTTAAGGCACTAACAAATCTGCGTACTACGTTTCCTGATGCTGTTAAAAGATTCTGACTAAAATAATAATAATCTGAAAAATGGTATAAAAACAGGCAATTATTTTAAATAATCAGTGTTTTTCACACATCATAATTAAGCCAAAAATGTGTTTATTTCAATTCGAAAAGAGGTTCTGTGCTAATTTTAATAGCGCCAACAAATCTGCATACCCAGTTTTAGAATTTAAAAAAACAATTTTTTTTTCAAATTTGTACAATTTTAACGATGTAACCCCTTATAAAATTTTCAAAATTTGTAAAAAATTAAATTTTATCCAGACATGGCTAGATCGATTCAGCTGTTCATTCTGATCAAGAATATATATGATTTATAGGGTCGGAAATGATTCCTTCATTGTGTTATAAGCTTCTGAAAAATACTTAAACCCTAAAAAAGGTATAAAAACGGGCAATTTTTAAAAATAATAAGTGTTTTTTAAACTTCATCATTAAGCCAAAAATGCATAAATTTCAATTCGGAGAGCTGTTCTGTGCTAGTTTTTAAGGCACTAACAAATCTGCGTACTGCGTCTCCTGATGCTGTTAAAAGATTCTGACTAAAATAATAATAATCTGAAAAATGGTATAAAAACAGGCAATTATTTTAAATAATCAGTGTTTTTCACACATCATAATTAAGCCAAAAATGTGTTTATTTCAATTCGAAAAGAGGTTCTGTGCTAATTTTTATAGCGCCAAGAAATCTGCATACTCAGTTTTAGAATTTAAAAAATTCAATTTTTTGCCAAATTTTTACAATTTTAACGATGTAACCCTTATAAAATTTTCAAAATTTGTAAAAAATTAAATTTTATCCAGACATGGCTAGATCGATTCAGCTGTTCATTCTGATCAAGAATATATATGATTTATAGGGTCGGAAATGATTCCTTCATTGTGTTATAAGCTTCTGAAAAATAGTTAAACCCTAAAAAAGGTATAAAAACGGGCAATTTTTAAAAATAATCAGTGGTTTTTAAACTTCATCATTAAGCCAAAAATGCATAAATTTCATTTCTGAGAGCTGTTCTGTGCTAGTTTTTAAGGCACTAACAAATCTGCGTGCTGCGTTTCCTGATGCTGTTAAAAGATTCTGACTAAAATAATAATAATCTGAAAAATGGTATAAAAACAGGTAATTATTTTAAATAATCAGTGTTTTTCACACATCATAATTAAGCCAAAAATGTGTTTATTTCAATTTGAAAAGAGGTTCTGTGCTAACTTATATAGCGCCAACAAATCTGCATAGTCAGTTTTAGAATTTAAAAATTCAATTTTTTGCCAAATTTTTACCATTTTAACGATGTAACCCCTTATAAAATTTTCAAAATTTGTAAAAAATTAAATTTTATCCAGACATGGCTAGATCGATTCAGCTGTTCATTCTGATCAAGAATATATATGATTTATAGGGTCGGAAATGATTCCTTCATTGTGTTATAAGCTTCTGAAAAATAGTTAAACCCTAAAAAAGGTATAAAAACGGGCAATTTTTAAAAATAATCAGTGGTTTTTAAACTTCATCATTAAGCCAAAAATGCATAAATTTCAATTCGGAGAGCTGTTCTGTACTTGTTTTTAAGGCACTAACAAATCTGCGTACTGCGTTTCCTGATGCTGTTAAAAGATTCTGACTAAAATAATAATAATCTGAAAAATGGTATAAAAGCAGGTAATTATTTTAAATAATCAGTGTTTTTCACACATCATAATTAAGCCAAAAATGTGTTTATTTCAATTTGAAAAGAGGTTCTGTGCTAACTTATATAGCGCCAACAAATCTGCATAGTCAGTTTTAGAATTTAAAAAATTCAATTTTTTGCCAAATTTTTACCATTTTAACGATGTAACCCCTTATAAAATTTTCAAAATTTGTAAAAAATTAAATTTTATCCAGACATAGCTAGATCGATTCAACTGCTCATTGTGATCAAGAATATATATGATTTATAGGGTCGGAAATGATTCCTTCATTGTGTTATAAGCTTCTGAAAAATAGTTAAACCCTAAAAAAGGTATAAAAACGGGCAATTTTTAAAAATAATCAGTGGTTTTTAAACTTCATCATTAAGCCAAAAATGCATAAATTTCAATTCGGAGAGCTGTTCTGTGCTAGTTTTTAAGGCACTAACAAATCTGCGTACTGCGTCTCCTGATGCTGTTAAAAGATTCTGACTAAAATAATAATAATCTGAAAAATGGTATAAAAACAGGCAATTATTTTAAATAATCAGTGTTTTTCACACATCATAATTAAGCCAAAAATGTGTTTATTTCAATTCGAAAAGAGGTTCTGTGCTAATTTTTATAGCGCCAACAAATCTGCATACTCAGTTTTAGAATTTAAAAAATTCAATTTTTTGCCAAATTTTTACAATTTTAACGATGTAACCCCTTATAAAATTTTCAAAATTTGTAAAAAATTAAATTTTATCCAGACATGGCTAGATCGATTCAGCTGTTCATTCTGATCAAGAATATATATGATTTATAGGGTCGGAAATGATTCCTTCATTGTGTTATAAGCTTCTGAAAAATAGTTAAACCCTAAAAAAGGTATAAAAACGGGCAATTTTTAAAAATAATCAGTGTTTTTTAAACTTCATCATTAAGCCAAAATGCATAAATTTCAATTCGGAGAGCTGTTCTGTGCTAGTTTTTAAGGCACTAACAAATCTGCGTACTGCGTTTCCTGATGCTGTTAAAAGATTCTGACTAAAATAATAATAATCTGAAAAATGGTATAAAAACAGGTAATTATTTTAAATAATCAGTGTTTTTCACACATCATAATTAAGCCAAAAATGTGTTTATTTCAATTCGAAAAGAGGTTCTGTGCTAATTTTTATAGCGCCAACAAATCTGCATACTCAGTTTTAGAATTTAAAAAATTCAATTTTTTGCCAAATTTTTACAATTTTAACGATGTAACCCCTTATAAAATTTTCAAAATTTGTAAAAAATTAAATTTTATCCAGACATGGCTAGATCGATTCAGCTGTTCATTCTGATCAAGAATATATATGATTTATAGGGTCGGAAATGATTCCTTCATTGTGTTATAAGCTTCTGAAAAATAGTTAAACCCTAAAAAGGTATAAAAACGGGCAATTTTTAAAAATAATCAGTGTTTTTTAAACTTCATCATTAAGCCAAAAATGCATAAATTTCAATTCGGAGAGCTGTTCTGTGCTAGTTTTTAAGGCACTAACAAATCTGCGTACTGCGTTTCCTGATGCTGTTAAAAGATTCTGACTAAAATAATAATAATCTGAAAAATGGTATAAAAACAGGTAATTATTTTAAATAATCAGTGTTTTTCACACATCATAATTAAGCCAAAATGTGTTTATTTCAATTTGAAAAGAGGTTCTGTGCTAACTTATATAGCGCCAACAAATCTGCATAGTCAGTTTTAGAATTTAAAAAATTCAATTTTTGCCAAATTTTTACCATTTTAACGATGTAACCCTTATAAAATTTTCAAAATTTGTAAAAAATTAAATTTTATCCAGACATGGCTAGATCGATTCAGCTGTTCATTCTGATCAAGAATATATATGATTTATAGGGTCGGAAATGATTCCTTCATTGTGTTATAAGCTTCTGAAAAATAGTTAAACCCTAAAAAAGGTATAAAAACGGGCAATTTTTAAAAATAATCAGTGGTTTTTAAACTTCATCATTAAGCCAAAAATGCATAAATTTCAATTCGGAGAGCTGTTCTGTACTTGTTTTTAAGGCACTAACAAATCTGCGTACTGCGTTTCCTGATGCTGTTAAAAGATTCTGACTAAAATAATAATAATCGGAAAAATGGTATAAAACAGGCAATTATTTTAAATAATCAGTGTTTTTCACACATCATAATTAAGCCAAAAATGTGTTTATTTCAATTTGAAAAGAGGTTCTGTGCTAACTTTTATAGCGCCAACAAATCTGCATACTCAGTTTTAGAATTTAAAAAATTCAATTTTTTGCCAAATTTGTACAATTTTAACGATGTAGCCCCTTATAAATTTTCAAAATTTGTAAAAAATTAAATTTTATCCAGACATGGCTAGATCGATTCAACTGTTCATTGTGATCAAGAATATATATGATTTATAGGGTCGGAATTGATTCCTTCATTGTGTTATAAGCTTCTGAAAAATACTTAAACCCTAAAAAAGGTATAAAAACGGGCAATTTTTAAAAATAATCTGTGTTTTTTAAACTTCATCATTAAGCCAAAAATTCATAAATTTCAATTCGGAGAGCTGTTCTGTGCTAGTTTTTAAGGCACTAACAAATCTGCGTACTGCGTTTCCTGATGCTGTTAAAAGATTCTGACTAAAATAATAATAATCTGAAAAATGGTATAAAAACAGGCAATTATTTTAAATAATCAGTGTTTTTCACACATCATAATTAAGCCAAAAATGTGTTTATTTCAATTTGAAAAGAGGTTCTGTGCTAACTTTTATAGCGCCAACAAATCTGCTTACTCAGTTTTAGAATTTAAAAAATTCAATTTTTTGCCAAATTTTTACAATTTTAATGATGTAACCCCTTAAAAAATTTTCAAAATTTGTAAAAAATTAAAATTTATCCAGACATGGCTAGATCGATTCAACTGTTCATTCTGATCAAGAATATATATGATTTATAGGGTCGGAAATGATTCCTTTACTGAGTTTTAAGCTTTTGACTGAAGTTATAATACCCTGAAAATTTAAAAATATAAAAACATTTAATTTGCGCTGTCGTTCTTTATTAATTTGACAAATTATAATTATCACATTTGTTGTAGAATTACTTCCAGAATTTCTTCATGGACATATTCTTCTCAGAGTCCTTCATCATCACCTTGGAGACGGCCATCTCAAAGTCCTCCTGGGTGACATGGACACGTCGCTCCCGTAGAGCATACATTCCGGCCTCAGTGCAGACCCCTTTGACCTCAGCACCAGATGCTCCCGGCATGAGTTCGGCAATCTTGCGCATATTTATGCCCCGGGTGAGGTTCATCTTTCGCGAGTGAATATGCAAAATGTCCAATCTGGCCTCGTCATTTGGTGGTGGAAACTCAATCTTCCGATCTATGCGACCAGGACGCAGCAAAGCCTTATCCAAGACATCGATGCGATTGGTGGCCATGATAACCTTGATGTTCTTGGTGGCCTCGAAGCCATCCAATTGGTTGAGTAGCTCCAGCATGGTGCGCTGCACTTCGGAGTCACCTGTGCCCGTCTCCAAGCGGGACGAACCAATTGAATCAATTTCATCCATAAATATTATCGAGGGAGCATGTTCTCGGGCCATCACAAATAGTTCCCGCACCAGGCGGGATCCCTCGCCAATGAACTTCTGGACCAACTCTGATCCTGAGACACGGATGAAGGTGCACTCGGTGTGATGAGCCACGGCACGGGCCAAGAGAGTTTTCCCAGTGCCAGGAGGTCCATAGAGGAGCACTCCTTTTGGCTGGGCTATGCCCAAGGCATCGAAAAGTTCCGGGTGCTTCACTGGCAGCTCTATAACCTCCTTGATCTCCTGGATCTGTTTGTCCAGGCCGCCGACCATTTCGTAGGTGGAGTCAGGAACCTTTTCCACCAACATCAAGGAAACCAGAGGATCCACCTTGTTGGGCAGTATCTTGTGGAGAGTGTAGCTCTCATTCCTTAGAGCCACACGGCTGCTCGTGGTCACATCCTTGATATTGATGTTCTTGTCCACATCTACTACGTACTTCCCTTCGGGATGCACCTTTACCAGGACTTTATTCTTGTCCATGGGCTTAACGACCTCTCCAATATAGCTGCCTTGCTCTTGGAGCAGCATCAGCTCCTCGCGAAGAGAGCGAACTGTGGGGAAATGGGAGTTAATTTTAGGGGCTTATACTTAGCTAAGGATTATCCTTACCCTTCGCGTTGAGTTCATTCCTCTGAGCCTGCAAACGGAGCAGATTCTTCTGGCGTTCCGACACTATATACTGAAGTTCAGATATCTTTTGTGTGAAGTAAGAATTGAATCCGCCATCACCAGCCCCACCATTTACGCCCACATCGATATTCATCTAGAGTTTAATTTTAGGTAAATAAGTTCAAGGAGAATTTGCTTGTCTATTTACTTACCTTTTCCAGTTTCAGTTTTGTTCTTTTAATTTTGGTTTAATTTTCAATCGAACTGAAGCGGGCTGGCCTACTGAGCTTTTTGGGATGATATGAGAGTTTTTGTTCCCCAGTGTTGATAAAGTCGGAAAGCTTTTAAAGTGACTGCCAACTTGTTTTTATATAAAAATTAACGATAGTAGATAAGCTGCAATATTGTTATTTTCGATAATAATGATGGATACTATCGCCATAATCTATCAATTTAATATTATTATTATAAATATTCTAAAAGCAAAATAAGTGAAAAAAATTTACATAATTTTATTCACAAGCTGTTAAAAGATAAAATTTAAGATAAAATAAAGTAAATTTCAAAAGTAATGGAACTAATAGAATAAAAACACAGACACAGTTTAAATAAATCAATTTTTATTTTTATTTATTTTATTTATTTATTATCTATAGTTTGTACTTAAATAAAACATTATTTATTTAATTACCTTATTCTAGTTAAAAAGAAGTAAAATATACATATATGTATATATTTCCTAATACACTTAATTTAACCACAAGATGTTTTATTACTCAACCCAAAAAAGGTATTATAGAACGACGTACAGAAAATTGTAGTACTTAAAAGTTAATTCATAATTAAAATATATTCCCGAATCCAATTTCATCATCATTATTTTCTTTGGGGGCTATTTATTAAGCTTAACCTATCAGATTTTGTTTAAACAATCTTATCTTCAGAGTGATTTGTCTAGTTTTGATTCCTTTTTGGAGCTTAAAGATTTACTGCCCACACGAAGCGCCAGATTAAATCACAACACGTCTTAAGTTCAAAGTTAGTCCGAAATGATGGCAAAAATTGATTAGATATTTAATCAAACAGAAGTAGGCAATCAGGGATTCAAAAATAGCCCTGCCATAAAGTCATCAAAGAAGTAATCCCTAATCCCCAAGACAAGAGAAGATATAGTAACCTGAAAATATTTCATAATTATTTTCTTGATTATTATCAAAGATTTTTAATTGTATAAAATAATTATTTTCTTGTCATAAATTTGGTATTATTAATTATTGATAAATAGTTTAGTTAACGAATAGTTTATTCATAAAGAGATACACTCAAGTAAAACTATTACTCACCCTTTCGCGAGCCAATAAAAAGTTACTTTGTGCGAGTTACTTCTTAATATTTACATGATTTATTTAAGTACTTATGTTAAATACTCTTCGTTGGCTAATATTAAATAATACTATATGCACAGCGGCTAAATCGCAGGTGGGAAGGGGTCTCTTGCTCTGATATTTCGCTCAGCGAAATTCACAACGTTTCGACAGAGGCCAAAATAAATATGTGCAGATATGTGTTGTACCTGCGGACAAGGTGGATAGTTTGATGGAAGATTGCCTTAACTTAAATGCTAATTAAGGTGAGCGATAGTCCAATGGAATGGTACCTTCAACTAAGGCAATGAGCGTGGGCGCAGGCTCATCAGAAAGTTAGTCGCTGGCCTCGGCTAACAAAATCAATACTAAGACACCTACTAAACAGAGCGACAGAAACTAAACACAGAGACTTAGGGCGAGACTAAAGCTGAGGCTAAGACTAAGACTATCGCTTGATGACGAGGTTGCAGCGTTGATTTCTTTCATTTCCACATTTTGGATCTCTTATCAGATTCACGACTTCTCCGCCAGTTTGGCATGCAGCGTGGTAATGTCATAGATGACCACCAGATCCTTGTTCAATCCCTCAAAGACCTGTGCCACACGCGGTTGCAAGTTGTAAAAGAACAGTGGCTGCTGTCGCTGCTCAAAGTCCATGACCATGGTGGAGATCACCTTGGCAGCGGTGAAATCTGCTCCATAAATGTGGGTGCAATCAATGACCACGGGCAGAGTGGATTTTTGACCTTGTTTATTGATCACTTTGCGCACAAACTCCATCGAAGGGAAGATCAGACAACGATCAGGGGTGAGCATCAGGTACTTGAGGCCAGTGGTGGTCTGTAAGAAATTCAATTAAAAAACATCATATGAGTAAGGTTTAGTTAAGGTCTTTAGTTAGAATATTCAAGACAAGAAACTGTAAACTATATACTATATGCGAGTCTTCTGGTTTCTGATCTTATATAGCCTACTTTTAGACATATATAGTCAAGAATTCAAGTTAGAATATATATTTTTCAAAATAACTCACCGCTAGGGTTTCTATACGCAGCTTGGGCCTGGCAGCCTGATAGAGAATAAAGACCACATTGATGCCAATTCCCACCAGGATGCCCAATTGCAGGGGCAGGACCAAGCAGGCGAAGAAGGCACCCAAACCAGGTATGAGATCGGTTTCTAGTGAAAGGAATAAACATTTTTAGTACCTTTGTTTACAATAATAAACCCTTCTCAAACTCACTTTTACTATGCCACATGGGCTTAATCACTCGATATTGAACCATAAAGATCACTGCCGCAATGATGATGGAGGCCAGCGCTGCCTTGGGTATATAGTAAAAGCAGGGTGTAAGGTAGAGCAGAGCTATGATCACAATCACACTGGTGTACAAATTGGAGAGCTGTGTCCTCACACCACTGGCATTAAGGATGGCTCCTCTGGCCACGCCTCCATTGCTACGAAGACCCTGGACAAAGGAGTTGGCCACATTGCAAACGCCCGAGGCAATCAGCTCCTGAGTGGCATCCGTGGGTTTGCCATCAGCTGAAAGAAGGAATATCAATAAATTTAGTAACAACTTAATAAAGAAGGCTTAAATTCATTTAAAAATAATAAGCAACAAGTAAATATTTATTAGGAATTTTCAACATAAAATTGACATTTTTGGGGTAAATCCAAGTTTTTAAAATATCATAACTAAGCCAAAATGCACTCATTTTAATTCGGAAAACTGTTCTGTGCTAGTTTTTATAAGGTTAACAAATCTGCATATTAAGATTTAAATTTTAAGAATTTCGATTTTTTGTCAAATTTTGACAATTTTAACGATGTAACCCCTTATAAAATTTTCAAAATTTGTAAAAAATACATTTTATCCCGACATGGCTAGATCGATTCAGCTGTTCATTCTGATCAAGAATATATATGATTTATAGGGTCGGAAATGATGCCTTCATTGTGTTATAAGCTTCTGAAAAATACTTAAACCCTATAAAAGGTATAAAAACGGGAAATTTTTAAAATCAACCAGTGTTTTTTAAACTTCATCATTAAGCCAAAAATGCATAAATTTCAATTCGGAGTGCTGTTCTGAGCTAGTTTTTAAGGCACTAACAAATCTGCGTATTGCTTCTCCTGATACTGTTAAGAGATTCTGACTAAATTTATAATAACCTGAAAAATGGTATAAAAATAGGCAATTTTTTTTAAATAATCACTGTTTTTCACCCATCATAATTAAGCCAAAAATGTGTTAATTTAAATTCGGAAAGCTGTTCTGTGCTAGTTTTTATAAGGTTTACAAAGCTGCAAACCGAGTTTTACAATTTAAGAAATTCGATTTTTTGTCAAATTTTGAAAAATTTACAAAAATTTATTTTTCTGCGGGACATGGCTAGATCGATTCAGCTGTCGATTCTAATCAATAATATATCCTTCACTTTGTTTGCAAACGTTTAAAATAAATATATACATATATCTATGTATATAGAGAAGACACATCCAATTCGCTCTAATGATCCGAATCCCAATATTCAATTAATTAAGACACATCATCCAAAAGTATGACTGCCGTTGGTCGGCAAGAAATTTCAAGAACATATTAAAAAAAAGGAGGAAGTTTATTTAACTTTACTTAATCAAGGAAGTAAAAACATTTAGTCTAACCAAAACTGATATGCTAAATCGTTGTTGAATTTAAGATTAAAACAAAGATTTACAACTATTTATTTGGCTAGAACTAGGGGTAGGAGTCATAAAAATAAGATAACACTTGAACTACAAGCACTCAAAGTCTCCTACATCATCAACACGTTATTTTAAGCTGAATTTTTATGCCAAGCCATGAATCATTTTCCAGTCACATTTTAAATAAAAACCCCCTAATTTTAATTTGTAATTAAAACAAATTAACTTTTGCATGCTCCAAAGAACATAAATAAATTCCCCGAAAACTCACCGAAAGCTTGAACCACAGCCATAGTTTCGAGGAGAGCAATAAGCGGCACAACAATCAATCCGGAACCCAAAGTGCTGACCATATCCCAGAAGCTTTGAGCATCCTGCAGGATCTCTCCGGTTGTCTCATTAACCACAGCATCCATATGGAAGGGTGGCGGTTGGAAGGAAGGCATTCCCTTGGGCACAAAACCCACAGTCCTCACCAGATTCTCCCTGCCGCTCATGGATAGCCAGTAACCCAGACCAGCAGTGCCACAAACTAGCAGAGCATTTCTTGCAGTTCCAACTGTCCAGAAAATTCCGGTAAGCATTTTCTGGGACGTGGTCTTTCCCTCCTTGGGACCCAGACTGCAGCTGGCCAGGGCTCGTAGACTCAGTAGCAGAGTGATGCAGATGAGGCCCAGGATAAAGTCCGGCCAACTGATGTTGTGTATATCATTCACGATGCTGATCCACACCTGCAGGAAGGTATTACCGCTCGTCTTGATGCCCAGGAAGTCCTTCATCTGGGAACTAAAGATGATCAAGGACACGGCACTGGTGAAGCCCGCTCCCACAGGACCCGAGACGAAATCAATCAGGAATCCCAGCCGAAAGACACCCATCAGGATCTCAATGAGTCCTGTTAAGAATGTAAGCAACGTGGCCATTTGCCAGCTGCCTCCGGCAATTTGAAAGGATAACAAAGCCGAAATGGCCGTAGGTCCAATGGGGACATCCTTGCTCGAACCAATAAAGATGTAAATGAAGCAGCCCAGGAAGCAGGCATACAAGCCATATTGCAGATCCAAACCCGCTATGCCGGCATAGGCCAATGCCTGGGGAATCACAGTCAAGGCCACTGATATGCCAGCCACTATATCTCCGAATATATAATCCTTTTTGTACTGCGGCAGCCAAACCAAAATGGGGAAGCGTTTATACAGCGTCTTCTTGCGGAAAATATTCGACCAGAGATTCGAGCAGCAGCTCTGAGTGCCCTCCAGGCAGCTCTCCTTGGAGCCCTGATCCTCCTGGACAATGCAATCCCGGGAGGTGTGATACAGCGTATTGGTGGGTATGTCCAAGGATACCTCAGAGCCGCCATTAAAGCCACTATTTGTGTGACCATTATCCACGCGTTGATGCATATTTTCTGTTTTATTTTTTATTTCTTTATATATTTTTTTATATATTATTTCTTTGCAGTCGCCTCTAAGGCTTCATGGCACTCTCACTGGAACAACACTGACACTGACTGTCTCTGGAGGGGAAACCGAAACCGACACCGAACCGATCGCGTGGCCATCCACTCTGGGAATGATTTGGAACTGCGGAAAGAGCAGCACTAACACCGCCTTCCAGCTGGGGAACCGATTATAAATAGTCAGCGTCGTGGGTCGCAGATCGCGAATCGCAGCGCATTCGAGACTATCCGCCGGCTTTCGTTACGTTATCTCAGAGACTCTTTCTCTCACTTCTCCAATCTCTCTACTCTCGAGTCTTTGATATCTGAGACATCTTGGGCAGACACTTCTCTGGGTACACAGGGAAAAAACAGAAGCTGGAAGCCTAACTGAAAAGATCAAAATCTTCCTCACCATATAATTTTGATTTTAAACAGTAGCAACACCTAGTTACACTTTATATTATTTTATATTAAATTATTACAAGTAAAGATGTATATTTTATAATTTATATTTTAAATATACCATTAAATTTAAGTGCATTTCTCTCTGGTGTGTTCCAAACCGGCTCTCAATGTACATCACCTCGGTTGGAATCGGGGCTTTTCATCTTGGCAATGGGCATGTCGTGTAAACGCCCAAAAGAAATGGAAATGACGCAGACTCCTACCAAGTGGGATGAACATGGGGACAGGCCCACCAGGCATGTAAGACAACACCTTGTGGGAGGCTTTTTAAGGCATAAAAGAAACTGAGATTTCAATATGTTTAACTGGTAAATGAGTATGGGAAACACCTATCAAACTCCATAAACTGATCAAATTAAAATATAAGGAGTAACATTATTACACTTTTAAGTGAATTAGGTTTTATATAGTTACATATTTATTTTGTTAATTTTACAAATGAAATTCAATTAGTTTTAACAGTATTTTGCCCTTTAACATTTTATTATTTAAGGCATTTATAATGAATTTACCATGATGTAATATATACATTATTCAAGTGAGACTCCAGATGGCTATAAATCTTGTAAGTGACAAGCTAAAAGTTCATTGTCATTAACATTCAGATATAGAGCAATCACCAAGCCCTTAATTAAAATAGCTTGTTTTAAGTTTACATATAATATAAATTTTAGTTGTAAATGTTCACTCTTTTTTATATAATTTATAAGTATATTTTTAGGAATTGTAAATTACTAATTAGCAATTAAAATAAACACTTTTTAAGAATATATTGCCTTAAGCCTAACTAGCTGTGGTTGTCCCCACGTGTAGCTTTAGTTTGTAACTTTAAGCAAACATTATGTAAATAAATAAATAAATCTTTCATGCATACACTATTTTTTTTAATTAATCAATTAACAAGGAATCCCCCAATTCAATGCTTTTGGGTAATTCACATAAATTAATCTTTAATAGAGTCCTTAAGAATATTATTTTTTACTTGTATTCAATAAAAACAAGTTACATTAAGCAGTTTTTCAATATTTTTAATGATTGCTAAGCTACAAGTGATTCTTCGTTGAAAGATTTATGATAAGTATTGAGGAAAAATATAATATTTGTAATAATTTATTCTTTGTCTAAATAGTATGTACTTAAGTTAAAATAAATGTTTATTTAAGTACCCATTATAGTTACTGTTATCCTCTAAATATTTACAAATAAAAAATGCCATCAATTAAATATTTTATGTTTTCATTTCGGAGACAATCCAGGTAGGTACAGGGTATTTCCAGAGTCGCTTTCCAATCTCAGCTGCTATTTTTTGCTTTGGAAAATCAACAAATGCTGTGCGGTGATTTTTCCGCACGTGCTGGCACCAAGCATGGGAACAGCCGCTTTATAATTGAAAAACAATGCGAATCGAGAAATGTATATATTTTATTGCATGCTAATCGAATCGGATTTTCACACCCTGGATTTCTTGTTAAGCTTTGGAGGCCAATCGTCAACAGGTTATTATTAATGTTTTTCGGACTGAATCGATCTTCCCAAGAGATTTGCACATTTCTCAGGTTTTTTATCACTGATCAATAAGGCGGAATATAATTAATATTTATTATGACTATGGTGAAAATTTCTACAAAGAACCCAATTTTTGGAAGCCCATTGATTATCTTTACAGCCCTCACCGAGTGCTGTTTCTATCGACGGGAAATCAATCAGCCGTATAGGAACACATATAAATCAGTTGGAAGAATGGTACCAATAAATCAAGTATACGGTCGTGATAAAGCCCGGAATTTGCCGGGACTTGAGAGCGCCACTCCGCCCCTGAGTAGTTGCAGATATTTGCCATTTTGGCATCTCACCTCTAACCAGTTTATTAACCGCTTAGCCTGTCCATATCTGTCTGTCAGTTAACAATTACGTGTTTAGTTTTAACTATTTAATTCCCCCTTGACTTATAGAGAGAGAGCCCTCTGAAATGAGCCGCGTTTCCGGATTTGTTTTGATGGGATCAGATTTCTTCTGGTTCTGGTTTATTCCCTCCACATCGACCCATTTGCATGTCCAGTCTTTTTTCTGCAGAATCCCAAACTGGCTGGGGATTTTTTTTGTGTTTGTGGTATTGGGATTTTCCTCAACGGCACGTTCCAAAATGGCAGCTCAAAAGCTGTCCGGTTATTAATCACACCACCAAGTCCACATCCAAGTTCAAGTCTCCCTCTCCCCAAATGGGAAACACGCTTCAAGTGGCTGATCGATGGCGCAGAATAGGTTACGAACTACGATCCAAACAGGCTAATGAAAATCAAACAATCTTTAGCAATTTAACCGAAGATTGTTTGCCCTTCTCTAGCTGGAATTTTACTGTAAAATCCTACAACTTTCCACTTTCTTTTCTTAGATTAGATCTTCCAGCTCCCTTCTCCCTGGGAATTTTTTATACAACAACTGAGGTTAAGAACCAAAGCTTGAAATCATAAATTATTGTTATTAAATAATTGTTATTCAATTAGAGAATACACTTATAGCTAGAAATTTTCTTGACTATTAGCATAGCCATAAAGTTAGTAAATTCCCTAATTAATATACACAAAACAAAAGCTATGATATAATTCTAAGAGGTTCAAATATTGAATTACCCCTTTCTAGACGTTTATGGAATACTAAAGACTTGTAGAAATAGGTATTACATATAACACAAAATATAATATATAGTTATTTATGACACCATTCTTCATAGCTATATTATTTTGACCACAATTGTAGATCAGATCGATCCCCGGTAACAATTGATCTGTTTGATCTCTGATCCCGCACCGATCCACTCACATTGCTGGGATACTTTCGTGGCATTTGTTATGAATATTTATAGGTCGCTGACTTGTTCAGGTGATTGGGCGAGACATAATCACTGTCGTTTGCTTTTTGCTGGAATATATGTAACACTTGTGCGGTCAATTTGCATTACTCATACGCAGCGTAAATCCCCGGCGGGGAGAGTGAAGGGTAAGCAGCACATTAGACAACAATTAAATGTACATAGCGAGTCAATTATAATTTTTGAGCAAATTTAATTTGCTTTTAATTTCGTTGGCGTGCGGATAATTGCCAGTTTATCTGCTTTTCCCTCTCTCTCTCTGCCTGCGGTTGTTATTTTCAAATCCATCATTATGATGCCTTCTTTTGGGTTCTCTGGATCTCATAAATCTCTTTGGGGCGCGTGGGCGGCCTACTTTAGATGGGATTAGCTATTTTTTTGTGGCCCTTGAGACATGGCCAGATTTCGGTAGTTATCTCTCAAGGTGCGTGTGATAAGGGGGAAACTCCTCCATCTTCCCCATGAGGGTCACATGTCGGAAAGGCTTGTCCATTTGTATGCACTGGGCTCAGTTCTCCTCATGATCAAATATGGACAGCACGTAAAGGTAGGTAACTGTGTTTAAATACACTGGGAAATACAAATCATGGACTTTTACTATTTTTCATTATTTATCCCTAGAGAAAATATAAAATAATGATATTTAAAAGTACGTTCCTAAAACCTTTTTTTATTTATATCTATAATATCTTACAGCGCATTTCTCTCACTGCCTCTGGTATCTTTACACATCTGAAACTGCATTGACAGGCAGGCATGTAAACAAAAGTTAAAGTTAAGCTTAAACAATTGCAATGAATGACAATCTTCGCTCAAATAAAAACTGTTAATTGTGCATTCAGTTAATTGTATAAGATCCCAAACATTACGCAAGACGATCAGTCCGGCGACTCGCTTTTATCCCCGCTCTAGAAGCGGAGGGGGAACTGCATTCAGGTGTGTAAAGTACCCAACGTAAGGCTTCACGTGACTCAAACCCGTCGATCGAGTATCCAAATTCATGATCGAAATGAATATATGTACGAGCCCCGCCTGAGGTCAGCCTGTGCAGGCTTGAGGAGGAAGCTGGTCGTGAATCCGTGTCAGGGACCAAGTTCAATGGCACATATCCCAAGGAAAGAAAAGAGGAGGAAATCATCCCAAAAAAGCCCCCATGGTAATGAGACATCGTATATCCAAACTTTCATACTCACGTGATTGAAAGCGCTTTAATCCAGTCATTTGGTGAGCTTGTTTTTTGTTATTGTTTTTATCACGGCAATAACCGCAGAAATGGCAACGAAACTGAATTAATTTGGTCACATGACCAGCCAGAAGAAAACAAAATGTTGAGATATATATTCAAAAGAAAAAAATGGAATAACAAAAGCACATGAGCATCTGACAATCGTATATATTTTTACCCACATGCACATCAGGGGTACTCGTTAACTTTGGCGAAAGTTGTGGGAAATCATATGTAGTTTATTAAAAAAAATTTATAAATTTATTGATCTCAATATGCTCTTGTGCTTTATTTAAAAATTATAGGGATTTTCTTGCTTATTTTGATTTGAATCTAACAATATAAAGCCGAAAACCTATATATAAAAGTAAATAAATTTGTGACAATGAGATAGGAATACTTTTTTATGTATCAAAATTATTTTGTTATCGTTCTAAATATATCTATATTTATATAAAAAAATTTGTCGAACAAATCAAAGTTTAAAAAACTCATAACTCAGTAAAAAAAAGCATTAATTTTCATTCGAAAAGGTTTCCTATGTTAGTTATTGTTATGCTAATAAATCTGCATACTCAATATAAAAATTAAAAATAAATCAATTTTTTGCCAATTTTGGACAATTTTAATGATGTAACCCCTTATAAAAATTTCAACATTATGAAAAAATTAAATGTTTTCCAGACATGGGTAGATCGATTCAGCTATCGATGCTGATCAAAAATATATATGGTTTATAGGAGCGGAAATGACTTCTTCACATCGTTTTAAGCTTCTGACTGAAATGATATAAACATACATTTATATAAAATTTATACTTAATTTTAAAAGTAAGGAAATATATTTCATTCCAGGAAATATTTCTCTGTTCTTTCTATTTCAATTTATTTATTTAATATTCAAAGTAAAAAGTTCAACAAGAGATAAGAACAAAATGTATATATAATAAGTTTAGTAGTATTTTCCATGAATAACTACTCTGGCCTCTCTCCTGAGTACCCCTAACGTCGCTTTTTTAAATGTAAAACATATTCCAAAATCAACAAAATGGTAATTTTCAAATGACCAACAAGCCAAGTGGCCCGGTCGTGTGACTAGTTTGATTTGTGTTGCCCCGAAGCTTATGTGATTCGTTCTGCCAGACAAAATGCAAATCATTTGGAACATTCAACAGATTTATATACATGTTTTTTTTTATATATTTATCATTCCTCCCCTCGGGGCAGCTAATAATTATTATAGCAATTACACCCACACACATCCATAAAAAGAAGCCACGGAAGCGTGCAATCCAGATTATTTCCCATTATAATTTAGACAATAAGAGGAAAGGTGCTAAACTGCGGCTGTTCAGGCCAATCAATTTATGGTCGAACCAAAAGTGTCGTGCTAATGAGTTGCCAACAAGCTGGGGGTAAATTAACAAATCAATTTTCGGAGTGATAAACAAAAAGTCAAACAAGCGGAACAAAAAAAAAAAACGAACAGCAAATACTTATCAGACACAAACAATTGGCATTGCAATCGGTTTGCTTTGGGAATGATAAAACAATCGAGCCGACAGACAGACTCCATTAAAACTTAAAAGTGATGGACTGTTAATAGGCGGCAACAACTTACTATAAACGCCTGACGGAAGCCGGTTCAATGCACGCCAAAGCAAAAGCAGGGCTAACATGGCGTATGCGCAATGCGCCAGCTTCACGTGACTCGTCGTCGTCGGTAGTCTGGTAATGGTAATGGGAACTAGATACCCGTTCGATCTGAGCTAAGCTAGGGCCTGATTTGCATGTTTATGTCGCTGCCACTACGAACTCCCCCCTGAGATTTGTGGGATTAGCTGGGCTTTATAATTTGTTGTTACTATTGTTTGCCGCCGACGAGTGGCGATAATAAAGCAACAGCAACGGCAGCAGCAACGGCAGTAAGTGTCACGCAAAAGATTGGAGCACGAATTCTGTTTGGATTTCAGGGAGCAAACACCGAGCTGGTTTATCGCACTTGGCCTAGGCAGAGACCTCACAAATATACGGCATTGGGGCTCCAGCCCAAATATTGGTTTAATGATCCAAAAGATACATCCTCTCGAGACTCGTCACTGCCGAGTAGAACTGCCAAGAACCGCATTCTTCAGTCATCCCTCTGGTATTTAGCAATGCAAATTTACTGTCTTTGGCTCTCTATGGGCGGAGATAAGGTACTGACACATCTTCGCTGCTTGATTAATGGATCATGATTTATGTATGAGAGGGATTCTCCAGTTTTTCTTTAGTTTGTCACGAGGAATGACACGGAGATGCAGCCACTATCTTATCTCTCTTTGGCTGCACTAATTTCCGTAACAAAAATATTTGTCAAATAAAAAAGGCTACGACGCGAGACATCTGTCAGACTAATGCAGAATGCAAATATGGCAAATGTTTTTCAGGGTGCAAATGCCCTGCATTATTGTGCCAGTTTTATTATGATTTATTAACACTTTAGCTAAGAGGCTGCCATAAATTCAAAAGGTACCATAAATTGTACAATGGCACCTTTACAATGCACCGAAAATTTCCACTCTCTAGAGTACATACAGCTTTTATTTTAAACAAAGTTGTAGAATATCTTATGACTTACGAACTAGAAGTGGTTTTAGGTTTACCAATGAACAAACATGTTGGGTAGTGTGATGTGGCCTAAAAGTATGCTACAGTGTGTGTGATATCATTCGTTTATTTGAGCAAAAATGGTTTCCAAAGGGAAAAACAAACAAAATAAACAACTATTTTTTGTGACTTCTTCAATAGCTATGAACTGGGAGGCTGTGTAGTGAGTGTATGTGGATCGTATGGATTAATCCTCAATCCTCCAGCGTGACATTGCGGAAGAGATAGGACATGGACTCCTTGTTGTGAATGCGGCGAATGGCCTCGGCAATCAGTATGGAGATGTCGATTGTCTTGATCTTGTGGCACTGCAGCTTCTGGATCTCATGTGGAATGGTATTGGTTACAACGATCTTTGGAGAGAGAAATTAGTTATATATCAAATACATTAGAAACTCTCAAGACGCACCTCATCGATGGGCGACTCATCCAGCAGACGCGGTGCATCCGAGCTAAGCAGACCGTGCGTGGCCAGCACGTAGATCTTGCAGGCTCCATTCTCCTTCAGCATCTCGGCGGCGGCCACAAAGGCCTGGACATCATCAATTAAATCATCCTAAATATATAGTTTTCAGATTAGTTTAAAGACAAATCTCTTTTAAGCTCAAGTTATACCCACCACCATGATGGCTATGCGTCCATTGACATCTCCCACTATGGTCAGCGGTGGCTTAACCTTGCAAATGTGCTCCGGCACACCCACCGACACCGAGGTGGTGCGCTGCCTGCTGCTGCTGCTGATCGGGGCATGTTGTGGAGTAGAGTTTCTAGTGGTTAGTGTGGCAGCAGAGTTTCACGTGGATCGTGTGGTTCAAGTGGTGCAATGTGGTGCATAGTGGTGGTGCATTTCGTATATTTCGGATCGTAATTGTAAAACCAAAAAGAAAAGAATCGTGTGGGTGGGTTTTTCGGGAGATGGTTGTGGGGTGGCGGAGGAAAGAGATACAAATGACATTTTCGATTAAAAATCATAAATTAAACTCAAATTGAAACAAAAGTTTATAAAAAAATACGAACCTAGGCATCGCTGGTAAGCACATTTCAACTGAATTTCCTAATAAATTGCTATACGCACTGCATATAACACAAAAATAAAGAGAAATTTCGATTGTTTTTGTTTTTTCTATTCTTGATTTGAAATTTTGACATTACCACGAACAAGTGTCGAGTTTTTTTTTATGGCAACTTTTGTGGAGCGTACAAAAATAAATACAAAAACATTTTCAAAGAACATGGAAGCGAAAATATTAAATCAAGCGAATAAAGTTTGGAAATCTACAAGTGTCTTGCTGCCTTGGCTGTGAAGTACAAACAAAAAGCCAAAGGACAGAAGCTGAGATAAAAATGACAAAACAATGAGCAAGCTTTAATGAGGCAGTGCGGTTCTTTAAGACAAACTTTGTAATTTAAGAAAACTACTGTTTTGCAGATGAAAAATGGTTAAAACAATTTAATAATTGGATAAATAAGGAGAGTGGTCTGCACTTCTTATTTGACAAGGTTTGGAATGATCTTTAAATCTTCAGCAAACAAGAAATAAATGATATTATGTCAAGAAATAAAACCAAATCAAAGTGCATACTAAAAATCAATTCAATTAAGTGCAGAGTACCAGCTTCAGTCATAAAGGAAGCCTGGAGGAACGCACAGTATAACTAATACAACGAAGCTGACAGCAAATTATATATAAAAACACAACTTAGAAATCAAAATAGAATCCTCACGACTTAAAAAACTCAAAGGGAAGAGGATCATCAGCGTTGGCCTGCTGTGGAAATTAAAAAAGTCTAGGATAGCAACTCACCTGGTCGGTGGTGGAGAGTAGCGACCATCGACCTCGTCGCTCTCTGCCTCCTTCTGTTCACCATGGATAACAGCCAGGCCAAGACGCAAACGTTCTGCATACGAGTTGGCTTTCTTAGCCACACCAGGATTGCGGGCCACAATTACCGAGTTGCGATAGTCGGGAATCTAAGGAAGAGAAAGGATTTCAGTTCTTGCTTCTATAGGAAGTACCGCTTGAAACTCACGCTCTCCTGAATATATTGAAGCAGAAAAGGCGATGCCCTTAGATTATCCACCGGTATGTCAAAGAATCCTTGGATTTCCTTCTGATGCAGATCCATGGTGATAATGTGCGTCAGGCCAGAAGTGCACATCATCTTGGCCAGCAGCTTGGACACAATGCAGCCACGCTTGCGCATCTTGCACTGTTTGGAATACGGCAAGTAGGGAATAACGCCAACAATTGAACGAGCCGAGGAGGTCTTGCAGGCATAGGCCATGATTAGTAGCTCCATAATATTGTTATTAGCATCCCTGAAAGCAGAAATATTTATTTTAACATTTATTTAAAGAATGTTTTCAATAGTTTCTCTTACTTAGTGCCCGTTTGGATGATGTATATGTCCTTGCCTCTTACGGAATCACTGATCTCGACAATGGTCTCCCGATTGGACTTGTGGAAAACGGAGCAGCCACCATTCTTGAGGCCCATACGCTCGGCCACCATATTGGCCAGATCTGGATGCGAGTTGCCATTGATGATGACAATGTCCGAGGTGGAGATGTTATCCATGTCGCTCCTGCAACGCTTCGGTGGCCGTACGCTGCCTAGTCTGTAAGGAAATATAGCCAGGATTAGTTAAGATTTAAATTATTAAAGAAATTTGAAAGAAAACCAAAACCATAACGAAAACATTTACAAGGAGGGTTTTTTTTTAGCAAGCTAAATACCTGCGTTTGGACATGCTTTAAGCCTAAAGGGGTTTCGGGTTAAGGGTTAAGCGATATTTAGGGTGTTGCCGGGTTCATTCGCTTGCCATAACCATTAAAGTCACACACACGCAGTCGTTACGGTTCCCACGTTACGTATCGATTAGCCCCAGTGAACCAAATAGCCCCACGGCGAACGCAATTAGTTGTCCTGCCCTTCGTCGTCTCGGTTGCTGCCCAGCTGGTGGAAACTGTGTGTGCTCGCCGCGAATGGAAGGAAAAACCACAGTCGAACCGAACTGAACGCGAAGGAAACTTCTGCGAAATATCGACCAAACATAGACAGGGCGACACACGTGAGTGGCGTGGCAACGTCAAAGTGCCAACATGCGAAGAATCATAGTTCCGGAATCCGCAGCCCGGATTCCAAGGCAGTCAGCAGTCTGTCGGCGCGGAGGAAGCGGCGAAGAGCGACCGCTGCTGCCCAGGATTAGCAGCAGATACAGATCGGGCTCCACTCTCGCACGCGACTTCCTTGAGAAAAGTGAAAGGCCAAGACGGTCGGCCGGGCAGAAGGAGGTGTATCCTGGCTAATTGAATTTCTATTTTTGATCCTGCACCGGGTCACTGAGCCGAAGCCGTCAGCACTCGAAGGAGAAGCAGCCTCAAAGCCGCAAAAAAAGTGCATGGATTGAGGCAGTCAACACTTCAGTCAAGCCATGGGCGACTCAGGTGAGTGAAATGTGCATAAATGTGAGCCAGCGATAAGAAATTGCAGGGAAATTACCGAGAATACAGTACAATATTAAATACTCTTTAAATTTGGTGCGGTAAAATTTAAGCAATGAGTCCTTTCTTTAACTTTAAAGAGCTATCTCAGAGTTCACAGAGACATCTCTGCCTTATTATTAATGAAATCCTATAAGCGTAGGAAAATAGCCACCAAAAGGTGTCTATTCCTCCTTCTCCATGCAAGTTTAATACCTCACCCAGTAAGGGTATTTGATGAAGCTATTTCAAGACCCTTCAAGCCTCAAGACATTCGCCTCCGGCTTTTCAACTTGGGGCTGGGTCTGAAGGGGCCGACGCAACCGCGAGGCGACTATTCAATTTTAGACATTTGACGTCTCGAGTTGCCTGAATCCTTCCCTTAAGGCGTTAGCAGTTGCAACAGAATGCATTAGAAACTTGCGGCACGCATATGTGCCACATGAAGGGGAACAAGCAATCAGGATGAGGAGAATGAGGCCCTGATTTAAAGATAGCTTCTTGAGGTGGAATGAGGAGCACGGGTTACGCCTAACCTCAGGCTAAGAAAGTTATGACAGGCTGAGCTGGAATTGAAAACCTCGATGGATTAGAGCCACTCCAGCCTGGTGAGTTGCATTAGAAGAAAGTATAATTTTGCCCGAGAAAGACGCACCATCGGAAAAGTCAGAAAGATGTTGGGAATAGCCGTTGATCCGCTCCAGCATACGAGCATGTATGAGCGAGGCTCAGATGGTACTACAAAGTGATCTGAAAAGATCTGTACAAGATTAAAAATAAGTGTAGTGAACTTTAAAAGCTAATAGTCAATGTAGATTACAATTGCTAAGGTCAAGAACAGGGAAACTATTGCAAAATGACATAATCTTATATTTTGCTATCGCTTCATGTCGCTTTCAGTTCTTATCAATTTTGTTTATATATATTTTCTAATAGTTTGTTGATTAATTTAGTTTGGTTTTCTATGGGAGAAATCGAAAGCAGAGCTTACAAAAGGTAACTCTATTTGTTTCTCCAAAGGAAGAATTCATTTAAGAACCCTTTTATCAACTTAAAAGCTTTCTATCTATGTACAAAGTAAAGATATATCTTAATCTTTTGAAGCTATTTTTAAATCTATCTCTTTTTAGATAGCGAAGACAGCGATGGAGAAGGTGGCCTGGGCAATGTCTCCAGGGTTATCATCCGTCCGCCGGGTCAAAGCGGCAAGGCCAAGAGAGGTCACCTTTGCTTCGATGCCGCCTTTGAGACAGGAAACCTGGGCAAGGCTGAACTAGTAGGGGAATTTGAGTACGATCTCTTCCTAAGACCCGATACTTGCAATCCTCGCTTTCGTTTCTGGTTCAACTTTACTGTGGATAACGTCAAACAGGATCAACGAGTGCTCTTCAATATAGTAAACATCAGCAAGAGCAGGAACCTCTTTGCCTCGGGACTGACTCCTCTGGTAAAGAGTTCCAGCCGGCCCAAATGGCAGCGTTTGCCCAAGAGACAGGTGTTCTTCTACCGATCGGCCATGCATCAGGGTCACTATGTACTGAGTTTCGCCTTTATTTTTGACAAGGAGGAGGATGTTTATCAGTTTTGCTTGGCCTGGCCATATAGTTACTCCCGCCTGCAGTCGTATTTAAATGTGATTGATGCCAGACAGGGAGCGGATAAAAGGTTTACTCGTTGTGTGCTCATCAAGTCCCTGGTTAGTCTTGATATTAACCCACTTAAATCCTTTAACTAAGCTGATTTTCTCTATTATTCCAGCAAAACCGCAATGTGGATCTGCTGACCATTGATCATGTGACCCATAAGCAACGGTCTACGAATCGCTTGGATCGTAGCTTCATTCGCGTAATTGTTATCCTTTGCCGATCACATTCTAGCGAAGCTCCAGCCTCTCATGTCTGCCAGGGTCTGATAGAGTTCCTGGTGGGAAATCATCCTATTGCTGGTGTCCTAAGGGATAATTTCGTCTTTAAAATAGTGCCCATGGTGAACCCGGATGGTGTCTTCCTGGGGAATAATCGCTGTAATCTGATGGGTCAGGATATGAATCGTAATTGGCATATTGGCTCGGAATTCACACAACCGGAATTGCATGCAGTGAAGGGAATGTTAAAGGAATTGGATAATTCAGATGTGAGTATAGGAAGGTTTTAAGAAAAGAACTTAATCAAACTATACAGCGTATATTAATATTAATTAGTCATCAATTAGACACCTTTTTTGTTAAGATTTACTACATAATCATTGAATTATTGATAGCACTCTTTAATTCTACTGTATTGAATTACCAAAATAGATAATTGTACCAATAGACAGATAGCATTTATTATCAAACAGACAGGTGATTTATAAAGGTAACATGTAGTATATTTATACCCTTGCGGGGTAATACAAATATTTATGGTCAGAAGGTTGTAACGATGTGAAGAAGTAATTTCCGACCCTATAAATCATATTTATTCTTGATCAGAATCGACATCGGAGTCGATCTAGCTATGTCTTGAGAAAATTTAATTTTTTCAAAATTTTGAAAATTTTATAAGGGGTTACATCGTGAAAATTTTCAAAAATTGAACAAAAAAATCATTTTAAATTGAGTATGCAGATATATTAACCTAATGAAAACTAACATCGGAAAGCTTTCCGATTTAAAATTTATGCATTCTTGGCTGAGTTATGAGTTTTTTAAACTTTGATTTGTTCCCAAAAATTTTCATAATATCAACGATTTAAGAACTTGAATATTTTAAGCTTAGTTATGATTGATTTCCGAAAGGATTCTATAACTCGATTTAAAACTGGAAGGGTATACAACCAACGGCTTCCCGAAGTTAGTATCCTATTTTGTTTATTAAGATCTCGACTAAGGTCAATGGCATAAGTCTTTACATGTTTGATTTATATTCCTGTTTGATCCTTTTCTAATTTCCTAATGTTTTACAGACCTATCAAATAGATTTTGTGATCGATCTGCATGCCAATAGCAGCATGCATGGCTGTTTTATCTATGGGAATACCTATGAGGATGTCTATAGATATGAGCGGCATCTAGTTTTCCCTCGACTCTTTGCCAGCAATGCTCCGGATTATGTGGCGGATCACACCATGTTCAATGCGGATGAGCGGAAGGCAGGCAGCATCCGAAGATTCAGTTGCGAAAGACTGAGTGACACGGTTAATGCCTACACTTTGGAGGTTTCCATGGCGGGACACTACCTCAAGGATGGCAAGACTATATCCCTGTACAACGAAGATGGATGTGAGTATGATTCGTTTGATTCGTTTAGAATTCCCAATCAATACCCCTTCTTCCCGACAGATTACCGCGTTGGCAGGAACCTGGCCAGAACTCTGCTGCAGTACTACCGCTTCATCAATATCCTGCCCATGCCGATTGTGAGTGAAGTAAGGGGTAAGAGACGTGGTCGTAACCGTCATGCCCATCACTCCCGATCCCGCTCCAAAACCCGCTACGAGGTCAAACCGCGACCCAAGACGCCGCGATGCCATGCTCCCATTGCCTATACGAATCTCAGTATATGCTATGATTCGGGTGGAGGAAACTCCTCGGATGAGGGAGGATTCTCACCCACTCGTCCTCTGGCGCCGGGAAGCAGTTGCTTCAGTGGATATCGTAACTACAGGAGAGCAGCCACAGCTGGATCCTGCATGAATCCCGCTCACGATCAGTATTCACCATTTGCTTTGGGTGCAAAAACGGGCAGTGATCATGGAGGAGGAATACCTTGTATTCATGGTGGAGGTAGAAGCAAGAAATCAGCTGCCCAGGTCACCATAGAGGTCCCTTTGCCGGTGAATGTTCCTCCCAAGCCATATCTCTCCATCATTGACCTGAATCAACTGACCAGAGGAAGTCTGAAACTAAAGTCCAATAGCTTCGATGCCACAGATCGGAGATAGGATAGTTGTCGATCCATAAGGCGCCCATTAAGAGTGATGTTATCTAATCTTTTCTATGCTTCTTGCTTGTTTTCTAATAAAAAAGTTATACGCAGAAATAAGCTCCTAATTAGAACGCAAGGTTTCCCCGTTGTGTATCCTAATTAGAGGATAATAACCTCGCTGTATATTTGGTGCTTTTTGCTAAAATATTCACGTTATTTCAACGATTTTTTTAGATGAAAATTTTTCAACAAATCAAAGTTTAGTTTATGAGTTATAAAAAGGAACTAATTTTAATTCGGAAAGCTTTGCTATGTTAGTTTTTATTAGGTTAACAAATCAGAGTACTCTATTTAAAATGTAGAAAAATTAAAATTTTTATTAATTTTTTAATTTTATCAAATTTCGAAAAAAAAAAAATTACAAAAATTTTGTTCCTTTCCTGCATAGCTAAAAAGATTTGCCTGTTGATGCTGATCAAGAACAAATATGATTTATACGGTCGGAAATGACTCGTTCACTGTGTTAAAGACTTTTGACTAAAATTATAATACCCTGCAAAGGGTGGGTACAGACTGAGGCCTGTCAATTTCCATGGCAAAGCATTAAAATTATCATTAACATAATCTCGAAATTAAGGCAAGTCAAATTCCCACTCATTTCCGAAAAAGTCGAAGTCTTTTGAGCGCTTTTTAAATATTGGCGCAATGAGTGAATCACGCCAAAAAAAAGCAGCCAAAATTGACGGTAAAATATCGTTAATGACACCACTGACTGGCAGCTCGCCACGTGAGATTACAGCGTAATTAACGGCATTTGCGGGGACAATTTTATCTTATCAAAAGCGATATGTGTAAACTATAACCTCCACAATGCACCCGTCGTCCATCAGCTGTATTTAGTGGCTTTATACATACTATATATACGTCTGCTTGTTTTTCCCACTCACAAAACTCACTCCACCAACGCTCCAGGAGGAAAACACGCGCAAAAAGTTGTGATAAGAGTGGAACTCGCGAGCGACTGACCGAAAAAGCGAGCTTCTGGACTGATTAACGCTTTCAATTAACACGGAATCAATATAGAGCCACGGCGACGGCACTTGCTCACTTTACTTTTTTCTTCGTATAAATAAAAGCGAATGGTTGGGTGTAAGGAGGAGCACAAAACAGACAGAAGGCGTAAAAGCAACAAGGCGATAACTTGGCAGGCGTTGCCAGATGGCCGGAGTGAGCAAACAGCTGTTGCTGTTTTTGAGTGAGAATTAAGGGTTAAAAAAATAAATAGGAAAGCCATTAGCAAAAAAGTAGAACACGTAATAACCAATAAAAAATGTTAATTACACTTAAATTAAAAAAATTAATTATTTGATTAAATTGTTATTTACTTTTTTGATTTAGTATATGCAATAAACTTTTAAGAACATATTTTAGATATTGTTTAATGGTTTTAAATTAAAGCAGAAAATACTACAAAATGTTCTTTTAATAATGGTTAAAATATCCAACTTGAAATTCTTTATTTAAATGAGTAATTTATATGCAATCACAATCACTCCCCCTTTTTGCTTCCCGCTCTTTGAGCACCTTTCTCAAAAAGCTGCAAAAGCCCAAAAAGTGAGTGAGAGAGAGGCTGCACTAGAAAATGGAGAACAAAACAAAGTGCGAGACAAGCGGCGCGATGAAGTAACAAAACGAGAACGGCGAAAAACAACAACAAAGGCATTGAGGCTAAAAATAAAATGCAAACACAAATTCCAGCAAAAGGGGGAGGGAAGTTAGGTGTGCGGGGGCCTCCGTTTGCTTTACTTTTTCAACGTTAGCACGCAATTGAACAACACAAATTGGTTAGACAAACAGAACGTGTAATTGAACATTTAATCTCTCAACCTGGCTAAAATCTTCGTGGGCACTGGAAAATGTAAAAAAAGGGGAAAAGTGGGTGATGAACATAGGGATAAAATGGGGAAAAAGGAACAAGCGTACGCAGCGACAAACACACACACACACTCACAAGACACTAATTAAATTATACATATAAAAACACAGAAATATAAGATGAAAAATAGCGAAAAAATAGCCGCTTTTATTTGTTTTATTTTACTTGTTCCGCTGCAGCAGCATGATGTATTCAGTTTGTCGATGGATTTCACTGTATTTCTTTGGCGTTTATTGATTTATTTCGAAATTAACACCTTTTCGATATCCTTTTTTTTCTTAACAGTTCTCTCAATGCGGTGGAACCGGCAGAGAAACGCTCACAGAGAGAGTTCAAGTGAGAGATAGAGAGAGGAAGAAAGCACACACACACATACACTTGCTAAAAGCTAGTAACAATTTCGCAATTTACTCTTTTTCGATTGAAACACGTCCGAAAACTGCGGCGAAACGTTTGGAAATCCTCTCAATTTATTAGATTTTTGCTAGTTGCAAAATTAGAAAAAACATATGTTCTGCTTTAAGCAGACCAGACCACGGCGGTTGAATAACCTCAAGAAGTGGGATTTTAATACTGGAAAAAGCTCTTACGAATTAAACGATCTGGTGGCACTGTCAGGTTGAAATTTCAAATTGTTTTCTTGTTTTGGTAATTAAAACAATATTATGTTGGTAAAGTTTAATGAATTTTATTTTCTAAATATTTAAAAGTATTTATAAATTAAATTAAGTTTGTCAACAGCTTAACATATTTTTTAAATTAAGCTTTTTTTTGCCACTTAGCTTGGAACCAGGTCCGGCAGAACTAAACTGCTTGCTACGCTGCTTGCCAAACACTGCTTTCAACGAAAAGTATTTGACCTGCTTGGCCTGACAAATTTTCAAAAATTAAAGCGCACAAAATTCATTCTTTATGCCTGTTAAACCATGAGATAATAATATATTAAAAGGCAGGTGTTCCACTTCTCAGATATCAGTTTGGCCAGAACCCTCTCGATATCATGGCTGTGGGACTTAAGTTGCTTATTTTCTTCCTCATCCTAGGATGTCCTTGTTTCGAGGCCTTGAACAAGAAGCAAGTACAAGAAATGAAGAACATACAGCAAGAACTCCTTCAAAATCTGCGAAAATATGCTATTAAGCTGGAAGATAAAATTAACCTCATAGAAGAGTAAGTTTTTTAACCTTAAAATCTTTCATTTTTAATTTTAAATTACCTTTTTCCGCCCTAGATCCATTGCTGAATATACCGAAGAAATTAAGGAGGCCAATCAGGATCCGGAGCTTTATATATCGAATCCTTTGAATTCCTTTCGATTGATTCGTCAAATGCACCAGGATTGGGTGAGCTGGCAGGTGTACATGGAGAAGCCGGTGGCCCCCGAGGCAGTGGAGAATCTAGAGCGTCTTTTGTCGCAATTACCACCAAAGAAGGTCTATAAGCGGGTGGCCAAGGATGTGCATGATCTGGCACAGTTTTATGACTATAAACCAAGTGATTTGGTGGCTAAAAATGAGAGGAAAAGGTGTGTTATAAATCCTTTAAGTGAAATTTTACTATATACCTTACTTTTCTTCTTTTTAGTTACTTGCATCTCTCTCCCCTGGATTGCTATAGCCTGGGATTAGAGCGTTATGAGGAGAAGGATTACCTGGGAGCTGTCAAGTGGCTTAGTGTGGCTGCAGATAACTATACCATGTCGGAGTACTCAGATCTTTATGCTCAGCTGGGAGCTCCACACTGGCAAGTGTACAGAGATCAGGCCAGAGTCCTTTTGAAGCTCAGTGAGTTTAAGTTTATCATAGATAAAACCTTACTGACCCTTACTGATACCTTACAGATCGTCCTTCTTTCATAGAGGCTTATGTACAAGCTTCTAATCATAGTCCCTTCAATGTCCATTTGATGGATGAGGTTGGTCTGTGGGAGTTGACCAGTTTAAGGGATCCCATGGATCCCATTCCCGATCCCTTACCGAATTCCACCTTGTTAGAGAATCAATGTCGTGGTCATGTTGTCCCAAAGCCAAATTTGTTTTGTGATATCAACAATTCGGGCTCGGATTTCCTAAAACTTGCTCCTCTTGGTTATGAAATGCTGGTTAAACCGTTCACGGTCCTTTATCCCAACAGTGTGTATGAGTCAGAGCTCCAACATGTGGAAAAAGCCTACGAACAATGTCCACTAAGCAACCAGCTCCAGTTGGCAAAGGGAGTCATTGGCTGCTCCATATCCCATGGATACAGCCCTACTATGAGACGAATCAAAAACCGAGTACTGGACATGACGGGATTGTCTAAGACATGGCATAGATCCTTTGTTTTGGAGTACGACAGCTTGAAGCCACTGGATATAGCTCAGGTTTTTAGGAATGCAACAGAGGTGACTATGTTATTCTTTAAATTTTCTTGCCGAAGATGCTTTTATTAATTGTTTTGTACTTTTAAGTTAGCCGAACGTAAACTCCTCGAGGAATTGAATGTGGTGGCCACAGCGGCTATATTTGTAAGTGGTTTTAAGAGGCAATCTTTGGGTTGTAAATGTATTAATTAATGTTTTAAATTACAGTTAAGAGATGTTCCTGAGGGAGGTGCCATAACCATTCCTAATTATGGAGTATTTGTGGAACCCAAAAGAGGAAATGTTTTGCTTACCGTCGAAGAGATGCAGCTGGAGACCATTTTTTGTCCAAATGTCATGGGAAGTGGATTAGGTGGGTTATGGAAAGGATCTCTTAGTAACTTTTTAATTTCATTTTCATTTTTATTTCCAGTTATGATACAGTTCGTTCTTGAGGATCAGTAGAAAGACCTTATACAACATTTAATACTGTATTCAAAAAGAAGTTATTAAAATATTTCCCACCAATACTAATAACAATATATTGTGTTTATTGTGTTATTGGTTATACTAATAAATCAATGCTGTATATATCTATTTTATGAGGAATTTAATATATTTGTTTAAACTTCATACATCAATCTCTATTATAATAGTTTTAGTATTTACACCTTATCGAAGTTAATTTTACAGTTTAATGACATTAGTTATATATCTCAAGTCTTTTTACCAGCAAATTTTTATTAGTTTCAAAATGCTTGTACTCGCAAGTATCCACCTGCTGCTGATGCTCCTTTCTGGAGCTGAAAGCTTTATGGAATCGCAGAAACCAAAGGAGTATTTAATCTCAGAAACAGCAAAAAAGGATCTTATGAAACTGGACAAGGATCTAATAACCAATTTAATGGAATATTCCGACAAACTAAAGAAGAAAATTACACAATTACAGATGTAAGACAAATAGAAGATGCAGAGTAAGCACACAAAAATCTGTAACATTTTAACTATTTAATTAAGTAACCTATCTTAATTTTTAAGGAATTTAGTTAATAAATTTGATATTTTATAATTAAAGGATAGCTCGGGAGATCAGAGAGCCCCTGGATGCTGCCAAGGGTATGGAAGAGGAGTATCTTTCCAATCCTTTGCACAGTTTTCCCCTCATCCGGCACATGCATCAGGATTGGCCTCATATAGAAAAGTTTATGAAGATGCCAGTGGGACAAGGTAAGAGTTGAACAATTAATTAAAAAACTATACAGTTCAAGGAGTGTATCGATTTCAGATGAAATTAATTTCCTTCAAAATAAATTACCGGAATTACCTGCTTCGGAGGATAGCAAAGATGCCTCTAAAGCAATGTATCGATTAGCTAGGACCTATAATGTAACGCCCTGGGAATTGTCCAATGGTCTCATCGATGGCATACAACTTGGGTTGAGCTTACAGAATGAGTTACCTATGATATTCAGTACTTATCATATTCATTTTGCAGAATCTCACAGACACATTTGACACCTTTGGATTTCTTTGAGATTGGAAAACTTTGCTTTCAGTGGGAACACACTCATGCGGCTTTACTTTGGTTCACAAGCACTCCAATCTTTGAGGAATATGAACCAGCTCATAAGGTTTTGGGGTTTCGTAAGAATGACGTGGCTTTGATGATTGCTCGCTGTCTGGTGGAGTTGGGTATGTGTTTTATATTGCAATTATAACTAAAGTTATCCTTATCCTAATCCCTTTCTCAGGCCGTAAAAATGAAGCTGAAGATGTATTAAGGGAACAATCTTATACGGCAGTAAATATGTCTAAATTAATAGAACTTTACGATACTCACTCCGTATATCAACGCAACTATGAGCCCATACATCCATTACAGTACACAGATTTGTGCCGATCCTCTCATGTTCCAAGTCCTTCGAGACTCCATTGTCGCTACAATAGCTCCACTTCACCTTTTTTGATCCTGGCTCCCCTTAAAATGGAGGAAATCTCACTCGATCCTTACATCGTAGTCTACCACGATGTCCTGTCGACAAACAAAATCGAGGAGATAATTCGTTGGGGGGATCCCAGAGTGGAGCCCACTTATGTCCTTCATAGGGAATTGGGCGATATAAGGAACAATGAACGCACAGCCTTGGGTACTTGGATTTCTCGCAATACCTTGCCTCCCTCCAATTGGAATCTATTGAGATATATGTCTCAAAAGATTCGATATTTAACCGGACTTAAGGTCATGGATCTATTTTCGCTGCAGCTGATCAAGTATGGATTTGGGGCACATTATGGTCCACATACGGACTATTTTAACTCATCAAACCGTGGCGTAAAGTTGACCGGCGATCGAATAGCCACCGCTCTCTTTTATGTGAGTTTATCTTTGGATTTTATGAAACTTATTATTTAATTTTGAATTCTTATAAATTGAAATATCCACAGCTAAATGATGCACCACATGGTGGAGCTACTGTTTTCCCCGAATTAAAACTTAAAGTGAATGCTGAGCGAGGAAAAGTCCTGTTCTGGTATAATTTGAAAGGAGAAACCCATGATCTGGATGAGAAAACGATGCATGGGGCCTGTCCCATCATTAAAGGCTTTAAATATGGTGAGTAAGGGAAAAAGGTTTTAATTTTTTAGTTAATATATGAAATAAATTACAGTCCTGACCGCCTGGATAGACGAATGGGATCAGATGTTTATTCAACCCACATATCGCCAAGGAATTCGACATCATTTCTTTTAAATTTTGCAACAAATTTAAAGTTTTGTATAGTGTTTAATTCCTTATATTCTACTATATTTTAAATTCTACTTAAATACAATGAATCTTCTGCTGTTTCCAAGAATATAAAGCTGTTAATATTTTTATAGCTCTTGCTCCACTTGGTAAATAATTTTTCTCTGGAACAAATTGAATTCGTTTTCTTAATTAAATCTAGTTAAGTAAGCTTATTAACAGCATTTAAAGTATGATTTTCTCAGTCTCAAAATGTTCTTACTCACAAAAATACACTTTCTTTTGCTGTTATTTTGGTTTGTTGAAGCTCAAAAGGAGTTTCTAATTTCGGAAGATGCCAAAATGGATGCCATGAAATTGGACAAAGATCTGATAGACAATCTTAAGGAATATTTACACAAGCTGGAAGAGAAAATCAATAAACTTAGCAGGTATTTGTAAATCCTAAACTACTTTAAAATTGAAGAGACTTTATTTTAGTAATTTATTTATATTCAAGAATTGCGGAGGAGCTGAGACAGCCATTGAAGGCAGCTGAGGGAGTGGAAGAGGAGTATTTGTCCAATCCTTTGCATAGCTTTCCTCTCATACGACACATGTATCAGGATTGGAAAAACCTGGAGGAGTTTATGCAGAGGCCAGTGGGAGAAGGTGAGCAACTGGGAAATAAAATGTAATAAAATATTTATAATTCATGCATAACACATTGCAGAACAAATCCATTTTCTCCAAGAGAAATTACCAGAATTACCTCTAAAGTCAGACCGCGATGAAGCCACTGAGGCCATGTATAGAATGGCCAGGACCTACAATGCCACACCTTTGGAAATGACTCATGGTCTCATTGATGGCATACAGTACAGGTAATAGTCTTACAAGTTCATCCCTCTATATGATATTATCAGTATAATTATTTTATAGAAACACTCTAACAGCTTTGGATTGCTTTGAGTTGGGAAAACTTTACTTTAAATGGGACTTTCCTGAAGAAGCTGCTCAATGGTTTAATATTACTTTGAACTTTGATTTAGAAGCCAGGAAGGATGTTGAGGTAATGGGCTTGCATCAAAAGGACTTGGTTTTGCTACTAACTCGTAGCCTTACAGAGATGGGTATGATTTATCATCGAATATTTATTATAAACTCTTCTCAAGAAAATTGTAATTACAGGTGAGGATGATAAAGCTCTCAATGTCCTAGAAAAACAGCCAGATCTAGCCGAGAACCATACTTCATTGCTGAAATTTTATAAAGCCAATTTGAATGATCCCACAGATGACTTACCCTATCTTTCGGAATCCTACTCAAAGTTGTGCCAATCTTCGCATGTTCCAAGTCCTTCGAGACTCCATTGTCGCTACAATAGCACCACTTCACCCTTTCTGATTCTGGCTCCATTGAAAATGGAGGAAATCTCGCTTGATCCTTATATTGTGGTTTACCACGACATCTTGTCAGTGAAACAAACTGTAAAGATAATACGCTTTGGAGAGCCAAAAATGGAGCCAACATATATTTTCACACCCAAGTTAGGTGCAATTAAGCATAAAGGACGAACCGCTGTGGGATCCTGGCTTTATTCCGAAGATTTCGACTTACCAGATTCACCTTTCCATAATTTATTTGATGTAATTCGGGATATCACTGGATTAAATATCGATGACAGCATTGAGATTCAGCTTCTTAAGTACGGATTCGGGGCTCATTACGGTCCACATCCTGACTTCTTCAATGGATCTGCTCCAGATATCAGCAGTGAGGGGGATCGCATTGCCACTGTCCTTTTTTATGTGAGTTTTTTAAGATATATTTCTGATATTTTTTTTAATATTTTTCTTTTTTTTTTAATCCTTAGCTTAATGATGCACCCCATGGTGGGGCCACTGCCTTTACGGACATAAATATAAAAGTTCCGGCTGAGCGGGGAAAGGTTTTGTTTTGGCATAATCTAAAGGGTGAAACTTATGATCTTGATTTACACACCATTCATTCAGCATGTCCTGTATATCAGGGTTTCAAATTTGGTGAGTAAATTAAATATTTCATGAATTTTTTTAATTATTTTTATCTTGATTTTGCAGTCATGACTGTTTGGATACGCGAGTTTAATCAGATGTTTATCAAACCAACTTACCGCAAGGGAAATCGTAAATTTTTCTTTGATGTTTAAAAATAAAACTTTTTTGAATATACAATTTTTATGTTTTATAAAGTATTTTTTATATGTTTTTGTATTTTTGTGTACCCTAATTTTAGTCAGAGCTTTAAAACAAAGTGAAGGAGTCATTTCCGACCCCATAAATCATATACAGTCGAGTCCCGATAATTCGAAATGGCAAGGGAATCACTTTTTTTACGAATTAGACGGGAATTCGATTTATCGAGATTTCTATTTAAAGGGGCTCAAAAATGAAAGAGTCGAATAAAGGGGGTTTTTACATTTCACATCATGTTTACATATGTATTTAGCTTTATTAAAATTAAACAAACATAACAAATATGTACATTCATTTGTACGTTTTTCAAATTAAAGGAAAATTAAACAAAAAATTAACAAACAAAATTAAGCAGAAACATTAAATTATTAAAAACGAAAATTTATGCTTTAAAATAATTGGTAATTTTTGATTGCTTCGTGTTTTTTTTCTTTTATTTTTTCCATCGCGTTTTCTAAACCTATTAGGTTGTCAAACACACTATTTGGCACATCATGAGTCGAAAAATAATGTTTAAGTTGAGGAATTAATGCTCTGGTTTGTAAATTCTATAAAATTTCTTCTCCGTTCTGATGTCTGCAAAATCTAACGTCGCTTTAACTACAAAATATTTCGCATCGCATTACGATTTATAAGAGGTTTCGAAACAAAATTACGATTTATAAGACGTTCAATATTCTTTTGCGTTGCGCCAAATACTACGAAATAACGAGTTTTTTTTTCAAGGGGACAGAATTTTTTACGAATTATCGCGATTTTCGATTTAGCGGGGTACGAATTATCGGGATTCGACTGTATATAGTCCACCGATACGTCATGCTCCGACTTATATACCAGTAAAATTATATACAAGAATAACTCCATAGATCATTGAAATAGATTAAATTTGTTCCAAAACAAATCTCGCACAACTGTGCATATGATTCCCAACAAGTTCTAACATCCCTGGAACGAAGTGAGTGCTGCCGGCCAAGTTTCAGAAATGTGTTGTGTTACAAAAGTTGCAAGTCATTGTTTATTAGTGTTCAAAGTTAGTAAGTGAACATACATACTTACTGATCAGAGTTACTTACTGGTCATAGATACTTACTGTTTAGAGTTACTTACTGCTCAGAGTTACTTAGTGTTCATTGATACTTACTGATCAGAGTTACTTACTGCTTAAAGTTACTTGCTGATTAAAGTTAAATTAAATATCAGCTCGCTGCTGCTCTCTGCCTCCCCCCACTCTCGCTATGTTAATCGCTCTATGTTAATCTCTAGAGGCAACAGCTTCTCTCCCACGCACTCACATTCTCTTCTCTGCTCTGCTCTGCTCTGCTCTGCTCTTCTCTGCTCTGCTCGCGGACTATAAATAGAGGCGCTGAGGGCCCGCGCTCCTCAGTCTGTCCTAGGGGTACCTAGTGTTAACATCTCAAGTGATAGTGCAAGTGATCAGCCTTCGGCCTAAAAATATGACGTGGCCAATGCAATACATCTGGATGACTAGGAAGAAGCTCCCTTTGGATGGAATCAGCATTTTTGGTCACAACACTGGAAGGAAGTAAACAATGACGTGTCCTCTACTGCGGTAAGTCTTAAACATGACATTTATATTACAGTCGAGTCCCGATAATTCGAAATGGCAAGGGGATCACATTTTTTACGAATTAGACGGGAATTCGATTTATCGAGATTTCTATTTAAAGGCGCTCAAAAATGAAAGAGTCGAATAAAGGGGGTTTTTACATTTCACATCATGTTTACATATGTATTTAGCTTTATCTTTTCTGCAAAATCTAACGTCGCTTTAACTACAAAATATTTCGCATCGCATTACGATTTATAAGAGGTTTCGAAACAAAATTACGATTTGTAAGAGGTTCAATATTCTTTGCGTTGCGCCAAATACTACGAATTAACGAGGGGACCAAAATGTATGGAATTTTTACGAATTAACGAGTTTTTTTCAAGGGGACAGAATTTTTTACGAATTATCGCGATTTTCGATTTAGCGGGGTACGAATAATCGGGATTCGACTGTATATTCTTGATCAGAATCAACAGGGGAAAAGATCTAACTATGTCAAGACAAAATTTAATTTTATTTAAATTTTGAAATTTTTATAAAAATTGCCAAAAATTTGCAAAAATTTCAATTTTCTTAAATTTTAAATTGATTATGCAGATTTATTAACCTAATGAAAACTAACATAGGAATGATTTCCGAAATAAAATTAATTAAGTTTTTTCTGAGCTATGAGTTTTTTAAAACTTGATTTATCAAAAAAATTGTCATATAAAAATTTAAAATAATATCGATTTCAAGAATGCGAATATTTAAGCTTTAACTTTTCTGTCGTACTAATTAACTTCTTTATTATTGCTGCAGCTTACTCATCTTTATTTATTGAATTTTCCCCCATCTTTTGATAGTTTTTGCCTGGCTTTCCATACCTTGAACTTCGATTCGCAATGCGATTCCTGTTTCTCTGCCTGGCAGTGGTCCGCAGCTCATTGCACCATTAATTGAGCAATTAAATTCAATTAGCCGCAGTGCTCCCACCTCGCAGCTTTCCCATTTATCACGCCTGGCTGGAGACCTCTCAGCCTCTCATCCTCTCATCCCGAAGAGACTTCTCCGGAAGTTTTGCACTTCGATTTCGATTGGCGCTGCTAATAATTTGCCAGATTTATTGTTTGTTCGCGTTTCCTGTTTGTGTTCGTTCTCCTTTTGCCAGGAAACTTTTCCAATTCCAGTGCGACTTTTCCGACTTGGCTTTCAATTAAGATTGATGGCGGCATGCATTCTCACAGCTCTTGAAGCAGGAAAAGTCTTGGTTTTGTGGCGGAGCAAATGCATTTGTCTTGATTTCCACCTTCCCGGATTGAGTTCTTTCATCTGCCAGACAACATATGTACCAGGCACCACGTAAGCTTTTCCTACTTGGTTGGTGTCCTATTGTGGCCCAAAAGGTAGTGGCGGCAATTTATCAAAATTTCCACACACACACACAGAGACTCGTCCCACACTGCGGATGAGTGATGGCAAGGAGGGGTGGCAGCAGGAAGATGGCAACAATTGGCATGCGTTTGCTCCACAGCCTGATTGCATTTATCTGTGTGTGTGTTTTGCGATGGTACTTTGTTAACATACACTGGGGGAAATTATGTATTTATTTTGGGTTATAAAATATTACAAAAATCTAAACGTAAAAAATAGAAAAGGAACCTCTAATTGCTTTATAAACTTCTGCTACAATTTATTTCAGTTGAAAACCGTTTGGCTTGACTCTTTATAATTATTTCTTTTTCTCTATTTTAAATAGGTAAATAACTCTTTAAACTTACACCTTAATGCATTTTTTCTATATTTTTAATAGGGAAATATTTCTTAAAAATTACACCTTAGCTCTGCTTTTCTTCACTAATTTCTAGGCTGTGTTTCCCATCTTTCCTTTGCTCTGTGCTTGACTTAAATTGCTTTTTTCAATGCCAACGGCTGCCTGTGGTACTTGTAGTATCTCCTGCTCGTCCAGGTCCTGCTCCTTCTCCTGCTCCTGATCCTTCAACCTCCTCCTGCACAGGCTGTCACATGCGGAGCCAAATGTCATTTCAGTAAAATCCCTCAAGTCGTTCGTCTGGCCTTGTCTGCTCACCAGAGTATCTATATACGTTCGCATCTGTATCTATATCTTGCGTGTGTGTTTCTGCGTAGAGAAAAACATTGTGCAAAATATGTTGGCAACATTTTTCTGCGGCTGCTTAAATTGCATTGGGAAATCGTTTGGGGATGCGCTGAATAAAAAGACAATGAGACAATGTGTGCTTTGCGGTGGTGAAAGGTGCATTTCTTACATACCAGGAAGTTTCTGCATATGATTTTGGTTCATTTTGAAGTTGAAGTTTTAAGGTTAAAGGGGTTTGAATGGGTTTCAGTCAGTTCAAGGGGGTTTCTTAATTTAAATAGAGGTTTTTGTTATATTTAAAATGTATTATTTTGATATTTCCTATTGTAAGAATTGATGTATTTCATTTAATTAAAATCTTAAGTCATCTAAATGTCTACAGAAGTCTTTAAAGTCCTTGCTTATTCAATCTCTTTAATATCGTTGATTAATTTTTCGAACCTTTACTTTAGAAGGATTCCAAATTTTCTAACTAAATGGTTTATTTACAAATTGATTATATATCAAATATTCATTACTCCTACAGAAAATGTTCCTTAAATGAACCAAAAGTCTAACCATCTTAAAAGATTGCTCCAAACGTATATAAATATTTTCTAAAAACACTAATTGATTAATGGCTTTCTTTTAGCAAATTTTTCCACCTCTAAATAACTTTTTAACAACTTTGATTTGTTAAAACCTTTTTCTTTCAATATTTTGCTCATGAATATGCATTAATTAATGCATAAACTCTTTTCTACATACTTTTTGAAAGAATCATGATATGCATATATGCTTACTTTGCAATTAATTTTTGATTGTGTAAAGTCAATAAAACCTTTTTAAGTTAAGCTTTCGCTATCTGTGAGATAGATCTAGATCCCATAATCTCTGGCAGCAATCGCTTTAAAGGACCTTTCCTTTCCTTTCATCCGCCTTCCGCTTGTTGCTCCTGTTCTAATAAAATTAAAATGCCAAACCATTTGCACTCCGTCGTCGTCTTCTCCAGTGAAATGCGATATGCCGGGCTCCAATCTCTTTGCCGGAACTCTGAAACTCCGGAACTCTGTCTCCGTTGACTGTTAAAAAATTAGCAACAATTTTTCAGCATAGCATCAAAATGCTACGCGACTGTCAACCGCATCCAGGGGATAAATCCACCCCCAGCACTTGGCAGGCACTTATCAAGGAGCTGACTTACTTTGGGCTACACCTTGTTACACTCTCCCCCTGCCCTCACTCTGCGGAAGCCAGGACGCACTTTGTCATCTGGTTTCATCTCTCCTTCTCGGGGGGTAATTTGATATGCTGTGGCTTACATTTTTTATCCGCCATTACCACAAAACGATTTATTTCCGCGTAGCAATTTGCTTTAAATTTTTATTTAAACAACAATTTGCTCGAGCGCAGATTGAGATTTCCGCGAAAAGATTTACAGAGGAGGGAGAGGGAGAAAAAAGGGGGTGAAATGGTGTAGGAAAATACGGAGAAAAACACTTTCCTTCGAGCCAAGTGATGCACCTTCTTTGGAGTGGCCTTCGTTTCAAGGATACTTGGACTGCAGTCGACACTCGGCAAATTAATTTGCTCTAGACTGTGGGCGTGGTTATGTCCTTGCTCCTTGATGAGTGTCCTTCGTTGTGGCTAAGATTTTCCAGTTCTTTATTTAGTCATACTCTTTCTCAGAAGGAATTTTCAAGAATATAATAAAGACTTTTGCTATTTCAAATAATTATTACTAAAGACTTTTAAGACTTAAATTAAATTAATTTTAAACTGTTCGACAAATGGGAATAATTTAACTTAAAATTATTTATAATTCTTATTAATTGAGTTTAATTTTTGCAGAGTATTTAATTCTGTAATACTTAAACCTAGACTTCCTTTATTAATTCCCTTTTTTTGTGTTGTCAAGATCTCAAATTGGTTTCGTGTTCGCCTGTGGTTTTTGTTGATCCTTCGCTTTTTTTTCCTTCCAAAGCTCTGTTCAAAAAAATATATGTCACTCTCAAGGTAAAAGGACACCCATTTAAGTAAAAAAAAGAACAATACCCTCCTTCAATTCTTATGGTTTCCCCTTAGTTTTCTTCAGTTTTTAATTTAATTTCTTGCACCTTGGCTAATTGGCAATTGGATGCCTTGCTGATGTGTCTGACAGTTTCCACTCGAGCATTTTTGCTACGCCCCGAATTAAAGCGCTTTAAATTATATCCATCAGGATATGGAGGATGCAGGCAGGGTGGAGGGGAGAGAGGGAGGCAGGTCCTGGCTCCTGGCGTTAATGGCTCTTTTATGGCCGCCACTGTGCGGTCCCCATTGCTGCGGCAGCTGCAAATATTCCGCATCCTGGCAAAGAGAAGGCGTGGCCGGGTGGAAATCTAATCTATGCAAGCTCTGCATACTATATATATCCCACCGATATCGTAGTCCTCCCTCCCCGGGCCATCAGATGAGACAACTATTTTTTTCGAGGCTGATTTTCCACTTTTTTTTGCTGCCCGTTGTGTTGGGAAGCTTAACAGTTAATTGCCCCTTGAAGAATACCGCCACGGAGTTTCAGGGCTCTAAACTGGTCCAGGACTACACAGTGGCTACCTAGGTGGACACACACAAAGCCATGGCAGGACAATGAAGCTGTGGTCCCAGCCCGGTCCTTGTTGTGTCCTGTCGAAAGGGAATCAAGGGTATGATAGGTGTCAGGTTGTTTTAATTAGAATTAATTAACATTCCTGGCTGAAACTAACTTAAATTGCCTCTTTAATTGTGATATTTTAGTTTATTGACTAATTTAAATTTTAATATATTTTAATAATCATCTTCTAGTCTTTACTTCAGATACCCAACATCTTGTCTGTCTCGGTCCCTGTGCGTGTGTTTTAATCGGTTTGACTTTGCCTGACCTGCGTGGGGGTTAAATGAAGTGGGTTTTGGTGGTGGGGTTAGAATGCATGGAGCAGGATCTGGTGGCTCAGGGGCAGGGACAACAAGGACAAACAACATTGCCAGTGTTACTGGCCCCCACACAGCAGCAGATTGAATCCTAATCGAGGTTTTGACTTTGGTTACGTTGCGTAAACACGCAACAACCGGCGGACGGAACTCACCCCCAGGAGCATCCTCCTCCTTTCCTTCAAACAGTGCATCCTGGTTAGTAGGTCGTTTTTCAGGGATGTGCTTTCATAGCAGCTCTTTTTAGTAGGCTTTACTGTACTCGAATTGCAGTGCAGTTTATTGTAGCACACTTGCAGGCAGCTGTTGTTTGCTTGTCCTTGGGGGCAATCCTGCGAAAGGATGTGGGGCAGGTGAAGGTGATTAGGGGTGATTTAAGGGGGAAGGGGATGCTACATTAACCCTTTTGGTTTAAGGTTATAAGTAATATGATACGGGAATACGGGAAGGATAAATATGACATAGTGTAAGGAAGATATATACAAGTTCTTATTAAAATCGGTCGAGTATAAGTCTTAGAGGCATTCATTTTCGAAGGAATTTTGTGAAAGTTACCTACAACTTATTATTATTTTACATCTTTCTATTTATTTATATCATTTAAATTAATACACAAAAAATATGCAATATTAAAAGCTTTAAAATAAATATTTTAAATAAAATAACGCCAGGTCCTTTAGGGTTAATCTCTTTAGGTGGGCTTCCCCCTGAGGCAACAGTGTGGTTTAACCACTTGATGATGGTGCAGCATTGGCGCTTCTTTTGCTGGAAGTTATGGGGAATCCCCCGCCTTAACTCCCTTCTCTTTAACCCCCTGAAACACCATCAGCTTTTTCGCCTTTAAATGCACTTTTAATCGCTGTAGTCGCTGGCCAGAAAAGTTGAATCAATATTGAACAACGGCCTGCGTGCCGAGGAGCAGCTGTTGACAGCCAGCCAAAATGTGGAAGACTCACGTAGAGACAGAGATGGGTAGAGTGGCCAAGAGAGAGATGGGTAGAGTGGCCAAAAAAGAGAGAGATTGCGAGTTAAAATACATAAGAGGGATGGATGGAAGCAACTTTTTGACAGTTTTAAGTTTGACGGCAAACTCTTCCCCGAAGTCTGAGTGTGTGTGTGAAGGCGCCGGCTTCAAGACCCCTTTTCCTTTGGCTCTATTTTCCACAGTCGCTTTTCCCGCAGCATAAAATGCAACAATGCGTTCTCTGACTTTTCCTGTCCAACTCCTTTTTCTCTAACCTACCAGCGACCTTCACACAAAACTTAAACATCACGTAAGCATTTTTCATGGCATCCCTTCCTTCTCTCTTACATAAATACATACATATGTACATAAGAAAAAATCTTGTTATGTCTTTGTATGATTTTTGCTTAAATTCAGCTTTTACTTTTCGTCGAAAAGGTCAGACATTGTCAGTTAAGTGTCCATGTCCAAGTCGGAAAAGTCTTGTCCAAGATTTCGAGTGCTTTTCACAATTTTTTAGTGCCCAACCCTCTCGGCTCCTGCTTTGGCTTCCTGTCTCTTGGCTCTTATTGAACGCCTTTCGGTTAGGTGTCAATGTGCAAAGCAGAATTATGGCAAATGGTATTGGAAAACTTTGCCAGCTTTCCGCAGTAAATGGATATTACAATTCAGCTCAACTATGGAGTGGGAAGAGAGGGAGGGAAATGCCAGGGAAATTCTAGGAAAATGCCAGGGAAAATGGTCAAAGTGTAGCTGGAAAATTGCGGAAGTTGTGTGGAGGATTTTGGGTGTTGAATATGTATGGGAAAATTAGATTAAAGACCTTTTTAAAACGGACTTGAGACAAATAAATCTTAAGTTAGGTAAAACGAGGTTTAGAATTACAATATTAATAATATTTTTGTTCTAAACGCCTAAATCATTGAGGAAAAGTTATAGGTTCTATCCTTTATTTAAAGTTCAAGTATCTAAAGAATTAACTTATAATTTTAAGTACATCCTTTTAAGGCCACTTTCCCCCTCTATTAACTTTTTCTATGGACTACATACATACTAAATACATATCTCCATTGATAATCGGAAAAAATCCTGCTAGCACCGTGACATAAATCACAAAATCAACAACTAAAGCCAAGCGATATAAAAATCGAGTTATGGGTGGGTTTCCCTGGCAATACAGATTTTGATTTATTGGCTGCTGGCGTGACTTTCTCCCCTCCCCTCGCACTTTCTCTGTCCCCTAATAGAAGGTATAACCTCTCCCTATCATAAACTCACACCCAGCTAAGTAGACAGCTCAAAGGCCTAAACGGAGGGAAACATGCGAAAACAAAAACAAGGCAGGAGTGGAGCCAAAAACACACACAATGCCGAGCATTTTGATTTGTGACTTGCGACTTTTCACGTAGCATACTCGCTTTTTCCCAGCCTCCGGAAAATACACACACACACACAAACGCATCGGGGTGAAAATCTCCATATACGAAAAAAAGCAAAATATGATGAAAATAAAAATCACGCAACAGGATATTGAAACGTCACACATATGCCACAAGTGCGAGAGGTGGATGGGGTGGGGACGCAGCAGCCAGGACTTCATTCGGCATTAAAACTGTCAGTGGCGCAGATTGCCTGCGGTGGCTAAGGACACCTTCACACATGATTTATTCCCTGGCTGCATTTATTTGCTCCATTCGAACGTTTTGGTCGAGGGGGCGGAAAGTGAAATTGGCGCAAAAGAAAAAAAGAACTGCGGAAAATTCATCGTAAACAGTTGCAGTTTTTGTTGCGTCTTATTTCAAAAACCCCTCGGCGAGCACGTGCCAAATGGGGGGAGGGGAGTGAGCTTGGAGCAAGAGGTCCTTGCGGTGGATCCTGGCCAATTGTCAGCCAGACAGCGGCCGACTGATTGGAACTTTGAGCCTGCAGCTTCTGGCTGAGCGGACGTGCAGCGAAAGTTTAAATAAACACGACCTGCAATGGGAATCGGAATAGGGCGGCGAAAATACAAATTTAAGTTGCTTAAAATAGTCAAGTAAGCTTAAGTTTAAGAAGAGCTATCACAAAAAATAAATAAGATTAAATATGTCACATTATTTACATGTTCAATTTAAAATATAGCATATGATTTTACTTAACAGAACAAATTTTGTAAAAATATTCCCTTGAGAAGGCCTTGAGAGTTACTCCATTCCAGATCTAGGCAATTTCAGACAAGATCTATACATTTTCTTCTAGCATTTGTAAAAATCTAGGAAAATTTTCTACAATGGAATCTCTGCCTTATGACGATCTGAAGGCCTTTGAGCTACGCCTTCAAGAGGTGGTGGCCGGGCGTCGCCCATCAAGGTTCAGCCATCACAAGCTCCTAGCCATCGTGGTCTTTGCCATATCCTTGGTCTTGTATTTGGTTCCGATGGCCCTCTGGAAGCAAACTGCCATATCTATGGCCACCATAATCCTTATATTACCCTTTGGATTGGACTATTGGAAGCCGGAGTTGAGCCAGGAGGAGATTACTAAGCAAACACGATCGGTGTTAGAAGCCTTTGATATGAGTTGTGATGACACCGGAAAACTGATACTGAAGGCACCACGTAGCAGGACCCCAAGCACGCCAGGGGAAAGTCCTTAATTTAAGCATCTAAGCTTAAAAAATTTGTACACTTTTAAAATTATACAAGACAAAGAGGTGAGTTTGTATATAATTCTAAGAATTTATATTTTAAATTTAAAACTTATCAAGGTTTATGGAGTACAGAAGCTGCTCTCCTTAAGGATGTCGCTTTAATTTAAATTTGTAAATCTCTAAAGTAACCTAAAATATAGCCGAAGAATAGAAGCGGACAAATATAAGCTACAATTTAATAGAAAATAAATATAACAAAGCATATCCAGAATAAATGCCTTGCTTTGCATTTAAATCTTATATAAACTTTATGACTTAAAGCCAAGACTGTGGAAATTGTTATGGATTTTTACGTGCACAGTTCACTTGTGCTGGGAATAAACAAAACAAAGTCTTCCAACCAATTTCATGGCACTCGCCCCTCATGTCCTGTTCTCATCCTTGTGTGTGTGTTTTTGTGCGTTGCCTGAAAGCATATCCATTTCACGCCCAAGTGCCGTGGCTTCCTTGGTACCGTGTGTCAAATCCATTAACCTTCTGTTTACTTTTCTACGTCCAGCAGCCGCAGAAGGGAAAAAATCAAAAAGGACTGCACACACATGTGGTGAAAGTGTTTTGCGGGCGAAACTCGATACTTTCACCAAATTGCGTTGCTCACTTGAGGTCCTGCGAGTCGAGTCCTGTTCTGACCCACTCCCCCAATAAATCTTACCTAGGCGTGGGCGAGTGGTGCGAGAAATGGAGCAGCAAATCAACCTCCTTGGACCACCCATTCTCAGACACATATCCTTTGGAGAAGCATCCTTGGAGCAGACAACAAAATCCTGCTCAGAAATGAGTATTAAGTTGACGTAAATTGCGGTCCATTACATTAACCAGGAGGAAAAGGAGCTCTGAAATAGGGGGAAAGAATTTTTTCGGGGGGTTTACCAATTAACCTCGTGTCTCTGCTAATTGCTTTTGTTGTTCAGTTCTGAATTGAACAAACAATTGAAGGATAATTTATATGGGAGAAAATAAAAGGGAAATTGGTAAAGCAAATTTTTAACCAAGAAATTCTTATATTCTTTTTGTAAATACCTTTTTTGATATTCCTTCCACATCTTTATTTAAACCTTTTACAGCTCGTTAAGCTTTCCAACTTGGCTTGAATATCTTAGAATCTTTTTAATGAAATTAAAAAACATAAATCCAAATCTAAATCTCATGATAATTTAAAAACTCTACGCAAACATTAAGCAAATGAAAACCACATCGAGGGAAAAACAAAAGGAAAAGGCAAGGAAAACGTAAATGATTTAAGAACTTTATCGGACATCAGCGACCAGAACAAAAAAATAAAATAATAAAAACTGGTCAAAAACACAGAACAGAGAGGATGAAGGCCAAAGGACACTTGCCAGGAGCTTAAAATGAACGCTTGTAGGTGATTATACAGCACATAATTTATGCAGGCAGCCAGGACTCAGGACAACAGAACAATGACCAACTCTGAGGAAGGGAGAGAAGAGGAACTGGAGCTGGGCAACCTGCGCCGGGACGAAACTGATTTAATTAAGCAGGTGATTAAAGTTGATGCCGGTTATTTGTACCAGCCAAAAGAGCAACAAGGAAAGTCCTTGCTATCTCGTCCTGTTGCTGGCTCCCATAGAAGCGTGAAAAGTGCAAGGAAAGTTTCCCGACAGCGGGAAACTGTTCATTTGGTTTCTCCACCTCCAAAAAGAAAAGGGAAAACAATGCAAATTTTGTTGGCTTGTTTTCTGGGGCCAACATGGCGTATGCGCAACTTTTTTGTTTACACAGCAAAAGGTCGAAAAGTGCAATCAATGGAAATTAAAATTCAATTAAGGTGAACCCTGAAGATGCTAGATATATATAATATTAGAATTTTATTTAAAGAAGTTTTAAAATAATTTTAAAACCGGAAAACCAATGTTTGTAAACAAGTTGAAGTTTGCTATTATGACGAGTTTTTGTTAAAATCAAAGTTTACAAGTCTCAAACCTAAGCCAAAAATGCATTAATTCCAATCCGGAAAGATGTTCTGTGTTAGTTTTTATTAGATTAATAAATTTGCATACTCAGTTTAAAATTTAAATTAAATTGAAATTTTAATCAATTTTTAACAATTTTAAAGATGTAACCCCTTATTAATTTTTGGTAATTTTGAAAAATTTTTATTTTACTCGGACAAAGCTGGATCGATTCGGCTATTGATGCTGATCACGATTATATATGATTTATAGGGTCGGAAATGATTCCTTCACTGCTTCTTAAGCTTCCGACTAAAATTAGAACGCCCTAAAAGGGCATAAATATGGATATTGAATCAGAAGAAGGTTTTTATAAGAAAATATTAAAGTTTATTCAAATTAAGTAATGAAAACATATAATTTTTATAGAATAATTAAATTAAAATATTTAGAAACTGAAAGAAAGGCAAGTAAAGAGTTACTGAGACTTCTTAAAGTAAATTCTTCTAGCTTAATATTTTTATATTGCCTACTTTTCAGGGCTCCAGTTGACCCTTTGAGTTTTCCCCGATCCCGGCTCTTTCCCTGCATCATCAGTTTCAGATTTTCAGTCCTTTGTATAATTTCCACAATATCGATTCAGTCCGAGGACAAGGCCAGAGAACGCACTCGACAATAAAACGCAAGAATCAACAATTATGTTAATTTCCTTTGTGGGTCAATGTCTCTCCACAACACACCCACACACACACTCGCATACAGAACCCTTCACTGTGTGTGCCTGTGAGTTGTATTTTATGGCTATATCTTGGGAAAACTGTCAGCACTCTTTGCTAGGCGAAGACAGCAACGGCAGCAGCAGCTGCAATTGCTAAAATAAATTAACATTATTTATGAATTTTCTCGACCATACCAGAGTGCTCTGTTAACTTTACCCCAGCTGCATTTCCCCTGCTGTTAACCAACAGCTTCGACTTAACAGTAAAAGAACCGTTACTCTCGCGAGAATATAACTGAAATGCGCATGTGCCGCCCCCCCGTAAAACACCTCCTGAGCAAGCAGCAAGGCGGCATTCTCGACACGTGCTTGGAAGCTCCGTTAGCCTGAGTCTGATATATATAATGTACCTTACGCATCCACCAATCTACCTGCGTCAGAGCCCCCCACCCAGTGGGTACATGTTCTATATATATATATATACATATAAGTCTGTATGTACCTGCTTTAGGTGTTGGCTCATCGTCTTCGTTCTTCGTTCTCCGTCGTCGTCGTCGTGTTTGGGGGAAAGAGAGAGCGGCATGCTGTAGGTGCCAGCTGCGCTGCTACCTCTCTCTCTCTCTTTCACCTGTTCAATGGGGGAGGCACCTACCTCGCTCACTCACCCCCTTTGGTAACCCCACCCCCTGCTCCCCCTAACGGTATCAGCTGCAACCTCAACCGCAAGTAACAGTTGTTATTCGTCGTGCGTTTTTCGTTCGTTTGCTTCGCTCTCACACATACTAATATACTCATACACACACACAATCACAGCCAGGTTGTTGCCTGTCCTGCTGTCTCGCTCGCTCTCACTTTGGCTTATGGTGGAGACCTACCTACGCTTTTTAAGGTGAGCACGAAAATGTTGGCAGCCAACCAAAGCCAAGCACCTTCGAGGGGTTTTCCACGGGCACATCGAAGGAGGGGTGTCTTTATGGCCAGCTATGGGTTTTCCCGACGGCTAAGGCAATGATTTTCCTCTCTAAAATGTTGGTTTTCAGTGATTTATTCATTAAAAAAGGCTATAAAACTAAGATAAATCAAGTTGTAGGTAAAGAAATATCATATTAAAGCTGTAAAATTATTTCTTTATAATTTTACAAGCTTGTTATGAAGGTTTTTTTGCTTCATTCTTTATATAAATTGGATTTTATGTGTGAGTTGAGATTAAAAATGGGTTAAAAATAAAAAAGGAAATTTTGGATCATCTTTAAATTAAATACATATAATATTGCTTTAAAATAATAAATTAAAAATTTTTTTTGTTTTAGATGGTAGTTTTTAACTGGTTCTCTGAAATTTATTCCACAAATCTGGATTCTCTATTTAAATAGCTTTAAAATTGAAGAAAAGAGAAAATCAAAAGGCTTTAAAATGTAACAAAAATAGTTACGACTTTCTTTAAATTACGAGCTACCAATAAGGATTTTTCCTAAGTGAAATTTCCTAAAACCCTACAAATTTTAAACATAAAACACATGAAGCTAATATTCTTTCCTAAATGTTTAGACAATTATTTAATAGAGATTTTTCCTGCTTTTATAGACCCTTTCTTTTGCCATCTTTTATTACCTTATAGCTCCTATTTATTCCCTATTTTCCGCACCCCTTTCTCCTTTGCATTCTCCTCCCACATTTTCCGTTGCCTATTTCATTTTCTTTATTTCCCTCCCATCAACGTCATCGTCATCGTCATTTTCCATAGTCGTCGTGTGCTCGTCAACGTCGTCTCCTCTCATTTCGTCTCGTCTCGTCTCGTGGCTCGGCTTTCACCTTTTCTCCCGCCGCCTTTCCCCCCACCCCCAGCTGCTTTTCCTCTGCTTTTCCCTGTGTGCGTGAGCATCTCTGTATGTGTGTGTGTGTGTGTATGAGCTGGTGAGGTGCTCTCAGCTCGTCTGGAGTTTTTGTGTAGCGCAGGTTTTAGGTGCGCAGCTTTTGCTCGTTAGGTACTCGGTTTTTTCCCAGCTTTTCCTTTTTTTTTTACTATATTTCCACTGCTGTCTTAGGTAAATACAAATGAGAAAGCAGCTGTAGAGAGAGAGAGAGACACACAGTCGAGAGAGAGCAGGTGCGCTGGGCTAACTAAAAACCCAACCCCAGCACCGTCTCCAGCTCCCGCTCCTGCTCCTGCTGCTGCTCCTGTCCCAGCTCCAGGTCCTGATGCTCTCCTGAACGGAAGGTGTGTCTCTCCGAGTGCGTTAGGTGCTCTGCCGGTTAGGATGGGAAATCTGAGGGGGGATCTGAGGGGGGGTAACTGTGATTTATGCCAGCCAATGGTCGAGCTCCTGGGCTACGTGTGGTAGGTAAGTAGGTGTGACACCAGCACTCTCCGTCTCCGTCGCTCATACGCCACGTGGGCTAAAAAAATGGCGACTCGGCTACTCGCACCTATGAGCGCTCAGCTCTCGCTCTCAGTTTGGGAAGGGGAAAACTTTTCTAATTAGCCAGTGCGAAAAGGGAAAACCTGCAAGGAGGAGGAGGAGGAGATAGTAAAATAGTAGGATAGTAGGAGACAAGAATGGCTGGGGAGCAGAAAAAAGTAACTTTTCCTCCCTCTTCAGACGCGCCTCTTTATGGATTTTTCGACTGCCCGCTGCTTTATTTTCCTCTTATTTCTTTTTCTTCTTCGCTTTCCCCCCAACGCGTCTCTCTCCCACTTGCCCTGGCGGTGTCAGTGTCCTCGTTAGGATGCTGGAGCATTTTCTTCTGCGCAGCGATTTTCCTTCGCCTCATTGTTGCAGATAAAATCGATAGCTCTTTATGGCAATTTAATATGACCTTCGTGGCTTACTTATACACATAAATTCTGTACTTTTGCTAGGCTCTTTATGGGTCTTTATATTTTTTTTTATTTTTGCCTTTAATTTTGCTTTCTTTCTGTGTTTTTCGTAGGCAGTTTTTGTTTATAATGCTGCGTTTTTATTCTGCTCTCTGGGGTCTGACTTTCGACTGTTTCAACAGGTCGTATGCGCAATCTGTTGCCACCAATTTTTTCTTCTTTATGTCGTCCCCTGGCAGAGGTCAGAGATTTGACATTGAACTCAAAGTTCCAATCGCTATGCCAGCTATTGAACTCTTTCTTTGTGGAATCAAAATCAAAGCGGTTATCATAAACAGATATCTCAAGATGTCATCAATATATGAGAGAGATCTGGTATAAGAGGCGTGGCCTTTTGGTGAGTTTTCTGGAATATTTATTATCAGAAACTTGATTTATTTAATATTTAATATTATTGCTAAGAATGAGTTTATTTTCTTTTAAACACATATTTTAATTAACCTTTTCTTAGGGTTCTTTTAATATATCTTAAAGGAGATAAAGTATATTACATAGAATGCTTGGATATGGGGCTTAAATGATCATGTCCCAATTTAAGAAATTACTGCAAGAGATTCATAATTAATATAACAAATAATAGAAATAAATGTTATATATATATATATATAATTAATGTATTTATTTTCATTTGTGATTAGCTGTGTAAGTTTAAACCTATCGCTTTACCAAAAGGATTAAGTAAAGAATAAAACACTTAAATCAATAGGTGAAAAGTGTCCTTTTATAAGCCCATTTTAGGTACACATTTGTATGAGTGTATTTTATTTCGACCGTTATAATTGCCAAGGTACCTTAACATTAAAGAAAATGGCTTTTACTTGACCCTTTCTCCTTACTTCCTCCCCACTTTTCCCATTCCAAAGTCCACTTTGAGGTTTGTCTGTTGGCACCAGGACATCCCTCACACTCACTCACACCAGGCCATCCTTTTAAGTTCAACAATAAGTCAGGGCATTAGACGCTTGAGAAATTGTCTGTTTACCTTGTTGGCCAGTTGCCGTTGCCGTTTCCAGCTTGCAGTTTGCCAAAATGGCACTCAAAGCGGTAAAAATATGAAAAATGAGACGCAGGAAGCGAAATTACAAGCCATGGCCAGGAGTATCCTGACATCCTGCAATCCTGCCTGCGATCCTGCAGCACCTTCAGACCCCCTCAGGCAAAGTGGAGAGACCCAAAATGAAAAGTTGAAGTAATAATTGTGCGGCGAAGGCGACGACGACGACGACGACGACGACGACGACGACGACGATGAGGATGCCGCCATGGGGCCAGCCTTACACATTTTCATTTGGTCATGTCCGGTGGTGTCCGACGATGGGTAATGTTTGTCCAGACGACCCCAAGTAGTCCAACACACGTTCCCTCACCCAGTTTTCATTTTTTTTCCTACTCTTCGGTTTCCATCTTCCATGTCCCTCCTGCACTCTGTCAACGGCAAATGTTGCCAGGCATTTGCTGACCACGGTCCATGGAGAAAGGAGCAGCTGGGAGTTGGTAGAGAAAATGAGGAGGAAAAGTGGATGGAGGGGAAAATGTGGAGGAACAGGGACACCTCTAAGTGGGCTTCATCAGTTGCGCTCTGCTGGACGCTGCGGCAGCATCATAATCGCTCTGTCCTGCTCATCATTTTCTCGGTGGATTCTTCTTCATCTTTGGCTTGTTTGCTGCCATTTCTTTTATTTTCTTTTTTTGGGGTCAAAGGTCGGGCAGGGATTTTCCCACATCCTTTTACCGGTTCTGGAAAGTCCTTTATTTATCTTTAAGATTTTCAACTCACTGCACAGGTTTTTTTGTTGCTCTAGTCCGCTGACTTATAGCCACAACAATGCGTCAGTCTGGCTGCTTGACTGGCCTTAGCTTTACACAAGGAGAAATTAAGGGAGATATATATTATATTCTTAATAAAATAATATAAAAATCCTTAAATATAGCCAAAAAATGTAGAGCAAATCTATAAGATAAGCTCTAAAGGACCCCGAAAATTCTTTCTTTTAGTTTTTCAAGCTATTCCCAGTGTAATATTCTTGGAGTTTTTGTCACTGACCACTCGCAGCTGCCATTTGCAGCATGTCCTCGCAGGCATGCGTATGTGTGTGTGGACTAAGTGGAAACTGTAGTTTTTCTTACTTATGTCCTGGCAGGAGAGCGCGACTCATAAAGATTTGTGTCTGCGCTCTAATGTCATAAGTCAAGTGCTACGTCGCAGTTCAAGAACTCACGTGTTCAAAAGGAGTGCAGCCACCTTAAAGGACTCCTTGTTCTTGTTTTCATTCTGTTTTCCCTCTCCTGGAGGAAAACTCTTTCTGCCCCTTAATTGGGAGTGGGCATTAAGCAATTACAGCTACTACCTCGAATGGGGCTTTTGGCTATAATTTAATTTGTCACACTTTGCGAGTGCAGACAACTTTACACTCTGGCCACAGCAAAAGTGGAGCAGCTGGCCGAATCCCCTCAGGGGAAATGGTTGGGAAATGGGAAAGCTGGGGGGAGGGGGATTGTGGCCAGCCGAAGCCATTTTCAATTTGACTATGCCGGAAGTTACCTGCTGGCGCCAACATCTTACACACAGGGAAACAGACACATACTGGGTCCGGGCACTGAAGTCATTTCCTGTGCACAGGCTGCTCTGCCATGTCCTTGTCCTCCCTTCTTATAGTCCTGTCCAGTGGTTTTACGAGCAAAGTGTCCCATGTGGCCAGCATGGAGCTGGGACTAGATTAAATTGGCATCTTTTTGTTGTGAAGTGACTTTGTTCTCGCAAATGAGAATGTGAGCAAATTAAAAGTTGGCCAACTGGGGAGATGTGCGAATTGGTCAGGTTAAGTAGGGTCCTGCCTCTGCGCTTCTCTGGGAGCTTCTCCAAGGACCTTCATCTGCTTTTCTTCCAATTCTCCCATGAAAAGGACACAACCATCCATCACTTGGACTCTTATTAATGCCAAGCGATTAATGAAATATTTACAAGCTCAATTGGTCAGGCAATGAATGCTAATTAATTTGCCTGGCAGGCTTTCTTCTTATCTTTACGGTTGACAAAGCCACAGAAATTGATTGAAATGAATACTCGAATTTCCCGAATTTAACCCTTTTTGTTGAGTGATTTCCTTGGCATGTCTAATTGAAAAACTTTGTGCATTGCAATCGCAAAATAGTTGTCAAAAGCAAAAAGGGCCCGAAACAATTTCGCTAGATGCGAATGTGTAACTCTGTTGCATTTTGGACATTCGAGAGATGTGGTTTATACTCAACTCCAAGTTTCTTACGAGTAAAAGTTTCTGTGGCTTTGTTTGTAGGCCTTGGCCAGTGCAATTTGGGCTGCTCTATCTGATCCTGAAGATTCTCCCCCAAATGGTGGCTCAGCAATTTATGATACGCATACACACTTTCAATTTCCCTTTCGATTTCTTTGGTCCAGCTAATTGCCCGATACGCTTGGCATACTCTATGAATCGGGCTGAGACCCAGACGGAAGAAAAACAAGTTAATTAAACGCTTCCGTTTCCTTTCCCTATTCGCTTTTTGCATGTTATCATAGTACTGGCATCGCCGAGTCCTTTAATTACAGAGATTTGTATGCCGGCCGGCTGGGACTTTCATTTTCACTTTCACTCTGCATGTCTCGGATTGCGTCTCACATGAAATGTTTTTATATATGTAAATTTATTATTTATTAGCATTAATTATGGTGGTCAGTTTGGGTAATTGAAGAAGCCTATGGGCTTAAACCGGGGTTTGTCATCGGGTTTCGGCTGCTGATGTCAGCGCTCCCAATTAACTGGCCATTTGTGTGCTACACACACTCGTTTCTTGTGGGGAAAATAGGGAAAAGGGGGAAGACTTTTCACTATATTGTTAGAAATAGTCACATTGATATGCTCAGCATAACTTAAAATTAATTTAAATGCTGCTAACATAGTGGGTAAGTATGAGATTTATTTTCTACGTGCTTTGATTGTTTAGTTTGGGTTAAACTTGATTTGGGTTTACTACGGAAGTTAATACGTGTTATTTTATGGATATAAATAATTTTATTTTATATAAATAATATATAATATAGAATTAAGAATTTCTAAAGAGGAATGTTGCAATAAATATTAATATTAGTTAATGGAGTAATTCATTATATTCAGACATTTAATTCTAGTGTTTAATATCAATTAATATTAATTTTTAAACTGTTAATAATTTAAACAATTATTATCTATTAAATGAATAATAATATAACTAATTTTTTTGTATTAAATCCCTTTAGCTATGCTCCCAATGTTGGTCTAAGGATTAAGTGTGTATCATATCCTATAAATTTGTATATCTTGTTCCTGTTTTTAATATCAACTAATATTAATATTAAGGATAATGATTAAAATTTTAAAAACAAATTAAGTCATCCAAGTTTTATTCTTTTAAAACTCTTCAGAGTTTAAAAGTTGCCCCAATGCACTATGTGGAATTTGACCCGTTTTCGTGGCCAAAATTAAAATTTTTGAAATTATTAACATTTTACACTGCAGGTTTCTTATATAATTATGGTTATGACTATAGGAAGCTATTTTAGAAAAGTGGGCGTGTCAACGCCCCTCTCCGCCCACAGAAATCGAAAAAAAATCGAGTATTTAAAGCATTTTTAAGTTAGAGACCCCAATTTTGGAACACAGGCTGAATTTCTTATTTTAAATTAGTCCTGTTAATTTGGTTCAGATCGGATAATAAATGTAGAAGTTATTTAAGAATATCATTATTTTTGGTTTTATTATTCTACATATTAATTATAAACTTCATCATTGTCATCAATTTCATTATTATTATAAAAAAAATATGTATTGTCGTCTTCCCTAACGTCGATATCAGTTTTAACGGTTAAGAAAACCTTATATTCTGCGGAGTTTGATTGTTCCACAATATATTTCCGGAGAAATTGAACCCCCTTGCTTACGCCAAACTACTAGCAGTTCTGCATTTCTGACCAAGATGTTGCTTCATAATACTTCAAATTACGCAAAAGACCGCAAAAAACGCACAATGAGCCTATGTATTTTGAATTCAGAATTGACAAACCTACAACATGTATATGAACACTCGCTGATACAATTTGAACCTTTTTTTAAAACCCTTTGGAAAGTTCAACTTTATTTCCAAAAGTGACAAATGAACACCACTTGCTAAATGTACAAATTTTTAGAAAAATGCGAACGCAACACGCAACATATTAGTATCAACACATAGTAATAACCTGAAAAATTAATATTCAGTTTGAATTAGGTTATTTAATGATTTTATGTCAGAGATATGCCAATTTGAAACTGCACCGCAAAGTCAACTTATAAGACAGCTCGTGGTGTTCGCTTGCAACAGCTGACTTTAACAGCTGTTATTTTAACATTGAACTGTTAAGTTAACATTTTGGGTATGTAACATAGCAGTTTGATCAATTCATAACATGGTATCATTAAAAATACGCAAATTGGGATACTTGCGAAAAATGAGTTTTGGCCACGAAAACGGGTCAAATTCCACATAGTGCAATGTCAGCTTCACGTACATATTTAAACATTTTCCTTTCTTGATAACCTTAATTTGCTTCTGTTTATAGATATATACAAATAAATATATTATTTTTGAATAATTTTATTTTCTCCACTACCCTAGATTCCATTTTAAACCCGATTATTTGCATATAGTATCAACAGATAGACTAATTTCAGTTCAGAGTCCTGACGCTGAAAAGCAGGCAACACTTTTGCAGCTGTAAATTTACTCACGCATTAAACAGTTTAACAGGCAATTAACACGTAGAGCTGGCACATATGTGTGTGTGTGTGCCTGTGTGTGTACGTACGTGTTAATAAAACTAATTTGATTAGCTAACTAGTGTAAGTAGCGGTTTCCACTTGTCTGTTTGCCTACGCCAGCCACTAAAACTCACACAATACCCCCCACGACAACTCCTGGTGACTGAAACCCCTTTCCTGTGTCCTGGCATATCCTGCGTATGTTTTGTGATACCTAAAACAACAACCAGCGAAATGGGCTTTGGCGGGTTAAGGTTTGAGGGTGTGTCGCACACGTTTGGCATTAATTTAATCCTTCCGCAGAATAAAGTGATATCGCCA